CTACAAATTTCTAGTCTGAACGTCGTATAACGAAACGTATAATGAAACGTTGCATTAAAAAAACGTATAACGAAACGTTGCATTAAAAAAACGTATAACGAAACGTTGCATTAAAAAAACGTATAACGAAACGTTGCATTAAAAAAACGTATAACGAAACGTTGCATTAAAAAAACGTATAACGAAACGTTGTATTAAAAAAACGTATAACGAAACGTTGTATAGCGAAACCCTTTTTAAGCATCGTTTTGAACAAAAAACTTAATAAAGAATCAGGGTCAGGGGGGTGTTTCACACAGATCCCAAGTCAAACTTAACTCTAATTTAGACTTAAAATTATGGAGAGCCAGCCATTTGTAGTCTTAAAAATTAAACATATTCAAAAGCGAAAATACAAGTATTTTAGACTTGTTATTTCAATTTTACAAAATATTTTCATAGATGCTAACGGCTTTCCATAATTGTTAAGTCCAACTGAGAGATAAATTCAACTAAGGATATTTATGAAACACCCCCAGCTCTAGTCTGACTGTTGTTTCATACAGAAATTGTATAACTGGGCGGGCCTTATGGGAGCACGCACTATTGATTGGCCAGCTGTCATGTCAGCTGACCGCATCAAAATTAGCTTCTTTATACAATGTTTCTGTTATGTTGTTTTCTAGTCTATACGCTCCTTTTGTTATACAATGATTCTTTATGATTATGATGTTTCTTCTTATGAGTTTCATATAAATTCCTCATAGTCTGAACAGGCTACTAAAAATACTCCTGATGATCAACAGATTTGATAATTCCTGTTGTACGTTGAGGCCCTTACGCTATGCAGTATGCACACAGTGGAATAACAGGAAAAGTGTATTTAGAGGCAACAAGAGGGGCATATCACTACAGAAATTCAATTATTCTACAGAACTTTACTAAGAAGACATGAAATCAATCTCCCTGAACCTTAACCAAATCTAAACATTTAATTCTGAAATACTGATAGTGAGTTGCAAGCCTGTCCCATGCAGTTCTACCTATAACTCCCTGAACATCATCTGGGCTGACAAATCAAAAGTTGAATGTAAATGAAGACGTACAGGTCTCATTTTCTCATTTATTACGACCACATCAGACACGAGCCACACACAATAGCATTGCCATGGTAACAGCTTGATCCAAACCACATTCCAATTTTATGCACACTTCTTGTGTCAAAATGGTTTATAGCAATGCTGAAGGAGAATTGCCTGTTGCTATGGGAAACATGTTATGGGAAAGGTGTAAAATGTTGAAGAAAATGTATTATTTCTGAGAAGTATGCAAAGAAAGCTCAATAGCCATCTAAACACACATGGAGGTAGCTACATTTCAGCAAGTTTTGCTTTCAGTCTAATATTTGTAATTTAAAATAGATTTTGTTGTTCCAAACAACCAGTTTAATTATGATGAAGAGTTTGTTTGATTGGCATTTTTAGTCAGTTTCTCTCAAAATGCAGATCTTCAACTTTGAGATCTCACAATTTCCTTTAACCTTGTGAATACATGTGTAATGGCGATTCTATGCAGTGTGTTTCATATGACATGACTTTCATCCATTTATTTCAGTCAAAAATTGATAAAAAATAAAAAGGTTCTTTCTGATATCATTATGAATTTCCACTGGTGAAATTTGACATTTTTGAAATTTGAATGAAATAAATGGAAAAAAGTTATATGTCACAAGGGATTGACACTTTGCATGCAAATTGCCAATAACATTTTGTATAAAGTGCTTATAAAGTTTGAAATTGTGGTGAAGTACCCCTACTTCCCTTCTACAAGTTTTCTATAACAAGGATGATTGATTCTGTTCTCATTCATGAATCATCTTTTGTTGAAGAATACCCTTGATGAAATAAGCAAATCCGATGACATATAGAGAGATATTATTCCGTATCTATTCGACCAATGATCGAATTAGACAATCCTAAATTGTGGTCAATTCTCAAAGTGACCTTGAGAAGAGTACACCAAGGCATCTTCATTGTTGATATTCTCCCCTAGCTCTGATCTCTTGATCATGATGATGGAGTCTTCCAAGTAGACTGAGGGTACGTTTATGCTCAACTTTTTCCGGCCAGAATCAGGCATTTGTTACACGTTTAGTTCAAAACACGGTTGCGTCGTTTCTCATTTTTGTAGAATCACCGAAAAACGGCGATCATAATCGCCGATCGTAAAGTCACAAAAAGGTGCGTTTTGGATCGGCGATTCTGCAAAAAGACGGTTTCTGGGGAAGCGAATCCAGCTGCAGAGCCAGAATCATGCCTGGAGGAGCCAGAGAAGTGAGCATAAACAGTACACCGTGGAACTGCGATTACGATGAGCATTTCAAATAGCTCATTCTGCCTCCAAAATTGAGCATAAACGTACTCTGACAGCCCCATGCATAGACTGACATCCCACAAGGCAGATAAATGCATTAGGGAAGATAGACAAATGTGGATCTTGTGAGCTGACAGTCTTGTTGGCTCTCTCAGTCTATTGGACCCTCAAAATATTTGTCAGAAGACTTTCGGTCTTATGGGCTGTAGGTCAAATGAGCTGTTGGTCTCATGAACTATCAGTCTAGTGGCCTGTAGGTCCAGTGAGCTGTTGGTCTAGTGGCCTGTTGGTTTTATGGACTCTCGGTCTTATTGGCTGTGTCTCATGGGCTCCAGGTCTAGTGAGCAGCCAGTCTAGTGGACTGTCGGTCTCATGGGCTGAAGCAGTTCAAGATGGAGGTCTGTCTGGTTGCCGTATCTGTAGGCCATTCCACATGACAGGAACAAATACATTACGTACACTTTTTATGTTATAGTGAATAGCCATATTCTTGATTTTTTACATTTACAAGGTGACCCGACTTAATGCTCCACCTTTGTTCTGGGCTGTACTTTGTCAAAGATATAGGGTTAGGGCTGTAATTTTGTGTGAGGTTAGATTCACGCTTGAATTTAGGGTTAGGTCACATTTAGCCTGCATGTACATGCAATAATTATAATAATAATAATAATAGGCATTTCTATAGCGCCATCTATCTAGAAGTTCTATTCCAAGGCGCATCCATTATTACCCCAGCTATAGCCTAGCTGCCATTGCAGCGCTCCAGCATTTCAAGGACTTCATTCCTACCAAGTACCCATTTACCTCATCTGGGTCGCGTGTTTGCACAGGGTTGAAGTTACATACATGTAGTGTAGAAAATTGACTGCAAGGCTAGCATTTGTAGCTGGAGCATGCTTTGTGTTATAACAGCATTTGTCTATCATTAGATGTGGGAAGTTTTGATCAATAAATCCATATTTTATTATTGACCTAGTTGAGAGAGGCCAGAAATTGTTGCCATGGTAAATAATGCTTCATATAGTAGGATGAAAGGGCTCATTATGTCCTTTTTACAGGCCCCACTGTTGTTATCTTTTTTAAATGATCCCCCATCAAACTTAATCATGCCATCAATATTAATCATGCCATTGATCGATCTTGTTACATGATCACTACATGCTTCAATCCACAATAATCTATCTGTATATAGCATGCATGCTCTGGTATACATGTACACGTAGGCCCTACATTGTACACATAATGTAGGCCTACGTACCGGTAACCAGCCACGTATGGTATGCTTACCTTGTCATTCATTTCAGAGTGAGTTTTGGAGGGGGAGAAAGTAGAGAAGAAGTTGACCTCTTAATTAACAAGGTCGTAAGCAGTAGGAGGGTATTCAAGGTCAGTTTCAAGGAGACAATTCTTGTGTACAATCTTATATCACTTATAGCCGATTCACAGCTGGTTTTTTGTGAGGCTAAGAGAGTTTTGAACTCTGCAATTTCCTGGGCTATCTTCTGTGTTTACACCGGGGGGCTAGCACCGCAAGTTCCCGGGCTAAGCTGGCGCTGCCTCCGAGTAGGGTTAGCGCAATTGGCAATTGCGGCGCTAACCCGCAATTGCTGGGGGAACCTGTCAGGTGTAGAAGCATGAGCCTTTCGCCCGGGATATCTTTCGAACGATGGTGTACGTATGAATATTCAAGAAACGAATCGTCACAACAGCGTGTGATGAAGCAGGCATGACAAGGATCGGAGTGCACTTTTTTTGTAGTAGCTGACATGCAAAACACACGAAATACAGCCGGCTGTGACCTTGAAAATCTTCAAATTGTCGGAAACGACATTTCATCCTCTTCCTACTGCTATTATTTTGTCTCCAACAATGATTCTTTCTCAAAAAGAAAATGGCAAGCAGAAAAACCATTGTTTCCTTTAAAATCTTTTTTATAACTGTGGCGCGCCATTTTGAAGAACGAAGTTGACAGTCAACTTCCGATTGTGGAGTCGTAGAACTGCACTGCGCGTGCGCACAGGTTAGGTCATGTCAATCTTCTGAATATGATCGCGATAGTTCCGGGCTAAGGCAAAGCAGGTGTGAAAAAGGGAAAGTTTTAAAGCCCGGGCTAGATGTTGACTCGGGTTAATTTACCAGGTGTGAAAAGGGCTACATTTCCATAGTAGTACAGTTGGCTCCTTACGCTATACATGTATGCAGGTCTACAAAATGTATGTGTGTACCGTTACGTGTAAAAGAATAAAACAAGCTCAGAATTGCTTTAGTGTGACGCAAAAGCAGCATTTTCAAAGAGTATTGTCAAAAACCCTCTGGTACAGAGTTTGGGCTGATTCACTGAATGTTGGTAAAAAGCTCTTTGCATTGTTGTTTCTGTCCAAAAACTTTAGCTGACTTTCAAATGGATTTAAGTTCAAATAACACATGCATATGGTCTGACTCACATTTGGTGCTCTACTCAACCTTGTGTAGGGAGGTTGATGGCACTTTTTAAAAAACCTGGTGCTCAGTCATCCATTGCAGATGCCGGTTTAATAAGTTTCAAGTAGTTTCTTTTCATACATTTTTAATTGCACCTGTCTTATCTCTTCAGTTCAATCTGCTAGTGTTCTAATATCTTGTTTTGTCTTGTTTTTTTCTGTGTTTAGAGCTTGGAAAAAAGGGAGATTTGTGACATATTGGAGTGGACTCTGGTTGTCGGGTGAGAAATGCTGATGTGTCACGATGGTCTTCCGTACCCCTTCAATCCGCACCCTGATCAAGGCTGGCTTGTTGCTCTGCATCGCTTTCCTCCTGCTCGTAGCCAAACTAGAGACATGCACAAACACCATCTCAGACGGCCGACTGGCTGTCAGAGACCTCTTGGCTCAGGCTCAGCCGTTTGCCGCCAACGGGGAGATGGACCGAAAGGAGGACTGCATGGTCGCACTCAGTGAGCAGGAAGAGCGCCACCGCACAGAGATCGCGGCCCTCAAGCAGCAGATTGTGGATCTCAAGACTGAATTAACTAAATATGTGGAGAACATCCAGCAACTAGAGGAACCTATGGCTGCAGGAGAAGCCGCAGCAACCGCTCGACTTGCCAAATACTTTGATCGCGAGCAGGGTCGAGAGCTCCTCGAGCACATGCAGAAGCAGATGGGTAAGATCGAACGCCATCGCCCGCTCCGGGACGAGTACGATGTGGTACCATTCGGCAGTTTGACTTCCAAGCTTGTTTATAGTATGGAGCAAGGGCTATCCAAAAGACCCTCGCAACGCCCTAAGGGTGATCGCAAAGAAGAATTAGTAGAAGCTGTTTATTTCGCTATCGATGAACTAAATAAGAAGAAAGAAACAAGTACAGATTTCTCCATTGAAAACTTTGTTGATGGGATATATAGGACAGACAGGACTGTTGGAACCTTTTACAATCTTGTTTTTCGTGGTATGCATGAGAACTATTATTACAGCATGCAGCTTCTACGGCCGTTTGCACCCATCCAAAAGTATAAGTCACAGATTGTAGACACTAGTCGTATAGTTATTAATATCATCATGCCTTTATCGGGTCGAATTGAGAAGTTTAGGACATTTATGGAGCGTTTCCAGACAGTGGTTCTAGAAACAAAGATCCACGTCTTCCTGACTATAGTCTACTTTGGAAATATGGGTTTGCCAGAAATTCATCACATTCTAGAGGAGGTCACAGAACCCTTCAGGTTCCATAATTATAAGATAATAACACTGTCCGGAGAGTTCTCAAGAGGTCGTGGACTAGAGGAAGGTGTGCGCAGCTGGGACGGTTCCGATGTCCTGATGTTCTTCTGCGACGTGGACATTGCATTCAACCGGGAGTTCCTGGAGCACTGCCGCTACTACACCATAGCAGGGCGAACTGTCTATTACCCCATGGTGTTCAGCCTCTACAACCCAGAGATCGTCTACTCCACCCGGGATCAGATTCCTCCTGAAAGCAATATGTTCCACATTCACAAGGACTCTGGGTTCTGGAGGGACTTTGGCTTCGGGATGACCTGTCAGTACCGGTCAGACTTCCTGAACATCAAGGGCTTCGACGTCGACATGAAAGGGTGGGGCGGAGAGGACGTCTACCTCTACAAGAAATATCTCCAGTCAGATCTGAAAGTGATACGGGTACCTGATGCAGGTATCTTCCACACGTACCATCCAAAGGAATGCTCGGAGGACCTGACAGCGGAGCAGTATCACATGTGCATCGGGTCGAAGGCTCGTAGCGAAGCCTCCCACTCTCAGCTTGGTCGACTGGCTTTCAAAGATGATATCAACATGACGCTGTATTTAATGGGAGACTCCAAGCATCAACCTCCACACTGACCAATCAGAAAATTGAACTCAAGATGACCAAGTGTAACTGACCAATCACCAAGTATCTGCCTTGTCACATTGACCACTGATCTTCACCCATATCACCTGCCTGACCAATCACTACCAACTGCTCTGAAGTGTGTTACTTGTCCAGTCGGGTCCCGATCTTAAAAGAATGATTTGAATTTTCTTACATTTACTCATGCAATCTGTTATAGAGATATGAAGTATCTTCAGGATTAAGAGATCATAAAAATCTAATGGATATGTAAGTCTAAGATCGTTTCATAACTTCTGGTTATAACTTGTTCTGATCATGAACAAAATGATGTCGATGTCTCACATAGGTTTATAATTGTAAGATCACAACAAATCTGACATACTTTATTCCAAAGAAAGTGACATACAACTCTTTTTAGTCATCTCATAAACCATTGGTTAACTTTTTATAACACAAAAACCATCTCAGTATCTCATTAACCATCTGTAATGCAAAACCTCATGAACCATTGGTCAACTCAGAAACCTCATAAGCCATTGGTCAACTCAGAAACCATCTTAACAACCATGTATCAACAGTATTGATTCCCATTGGTCACTTTGGAAATCTTAGATGAAATCTTATTGGACATACTTTATGACTATTTGGACTCAGATCATATTGGACATTTTTATTATTCAATTTTTTTCAAATATGTATATGTTTTCAAGTATATATATATACTACTGATATTTACTATTTTTCTATTATGATTGTGTAAGAGTAGACTGTAGGGAGTAGTGAACACAGTCTCATCTGATTTAATGATGCCTATTTTTACTTGCCCAGATATTATTTATGACTAGTTTCCATGACAACATGGGATAGGAAGTCATTAAAAAGCTCAAAATATTTCACCAAAGCGTAGATCAGACCTGTGCACATTGAATTATTTACACACAAAAAATCAATGGAGACTACAGTGTATTATTATACTAGATTACAATTGTGTGTGAACATTTCATACAGTTCTACAAGATTGAATGTCATGCTATGACAAAGATATCATTTCTAATTTTCAAATCTAATGCAAATATTTTAAAGGGATAGATTAACATATGCATGAGGTTCAATTACCAAGATATGTTTAATAGTAAAAGGGGATTCCTTACCATTAAATTTAAAGTATGATGTAAATAGTTTGAAACTTAACATTATACAGTGTATTTAGATTGCAATTGGGATCTCAGAAGGTTTAGAAATGATGATGTGGCTCACTTGGCCCAAGTTTGCTTTAAGAAGTTGAGCAGGAAATGTGCTGTGCGGAAATCACAGAATTTATTTGCATGAAGAAAAAAAATGGACTGCCTGTAGATGAGTCATTTCCATGTAGAGAGGTAATGACAAATATAATCCAGGGGAGGGGTGTTTCACAAAGATCCTAAGTTGAACGTAACTCAGAGTTGGACTTGAAAATTATGGAAAGCCGTTAGCATCTTTGAAATATTTTGTAAAAGTTATTTTTAAAGGCATAAAATGTTGATTCATATCATTAATATTTTCTATTATGAAAGAGATTTCATGTTCTCATGTTGAATCTATGAAAAGTCTAAAATACTTAAATTTTCACTACTGGATATATTTTATTTTAAGGCTACAAATGGCTCTACATAATATTTAAGTCCAATTTGGAGTTAACTTGGATTTAGGATCTTTGTGAAACACCCCCTGGGGGATGTTTACCAATGAAAATTCTAGAACTTGATATATTGGCCCAAAATACAATGTATTCAGAGCTTCACTTCACTATACAGGTCTGAACAAATTGTATGTAGCTGCTCAATTTTATTTTTAATGAATTGATATATATGTATACTTTTTTTATTCATTGCTCTTCAAAAATAGCAATGTGAGGTATGATTTTCTAACCATGAATTAAAAATTAAATGTTTGAAGCCAAAGGACATACAACTATAGTGTTAACAACTAAATTATTCAAACCCCTTGTAAAATTGATGGTTTTGGGGTGTTTTTTTTAAACTCAAGAATGAAAGGTTGACTGGTTGAATAGGGCCTTTGTTGAATGCTTTAAAATGTATATGTGTCATATTTTCAAGAAACATAAATGTTGAGAAATCAATCATGTAGTTGTTAACTATACATGTAATATGCATAGCTTGTATGTAATTATGTGTTGGTTTGGTTAATTTTGACAAAAATAGATTCTGATGAAGATGCATTCCGAATTAATGTATATAAAAGTGTTTGTATATTTTTTATCTTCTTTTTATGCTTTTGTTTATAAGATATAAGTAGGCTCATTATGAAATGATGCAAAGATTGTGCATGCTTTAAAACCATTGCAACCATTGGAAGTTGACAAAAATGCTGTTATATCAGGCAAGGCATATTTTAAGTTTTGTTTGCATGCTAGTAAGAACAATTGTAAAAGCTCTCGTTTTGTATCAGTCATCTTGTCAGAGAACAAACTGGTTAAGGGTAATGCTTGTTGAAAGAAAATATTAGAAGACTAATCTATCAGGGTAGGTATCAAAACTCTCACAATTGGACTTAAATATTTCTTGTTAAGCAGTATTCCGACAAAAGAAGAAGTACAAGAGTATTTCTTTTGAAGTACTTTTCTAAGAATTCTAATCTTAAATATCTTTTATTTCTGCCCATGATGGACAATTAATCAAGAGAATGTGATATATATTATATATATGTTTGAGGGATAAGTCATGTAGTGTAAGTAGCAGAGAATACTGTTGAATTTATTCTAATGCTGTATTTCAGGACATCCGATACTGCTGCTGTGTAATACAATGCTCTGCCACACTTTAATCTCCTGTGCTTCTTGCAGAGAAGCTCTGTTGCGCCCCCCCCCCCCAAGTAATCCTGTCTACACCACTGACACTGTTTGTAATTACTGTTTTTCCCATTGCAGACATATGTAATTTCAATTTGTACTCCTTTATTTGTAAAATGTGTATAATCAAGTGCCTTGCTTTATCTTGTACAAGGTAGATATAAATGCTTGCAGGGTAGAAACCAAAATACTCTTGCTCTAAACTGTGCATCCTAGCTCAAACTACTATAGTATTATTTTACATTAACTTATTTAAAGCGGCTACCTCCCTCCCTCTCCCTTGCCAGGTGGTTCTGTTTTAAAACAGCTTCTTATTTTACTTTCCATGTATTATGTTCAATATATGTGCTGCAAAGACAAGCTGACAGAAACTTGACATGCTATTTTTATAGAAACAACACCAATGTCTATGCAGCGTTATAATGTGCTACTTAAAATGATAAAAATATATTTTCAGCTACTTGTTGTTGTTGTGCTTGTCGTTCAGATTTAGAAGTTGTGCTATTTTTTAAAGTCACTGTGTAATGCAGGTAGAGCTTTACATGTATTTTTGTTTGTGTTTATATATCTGAATATGGTAGTATGCCATTTTACATCCTATGCATGTGTAATATTGCTAATGTGCTATGCGCGACCAGAATTGGTTGTGCAGTTGTGCTACTAGTTTTTGTTAGTTTAAAGATAAACTTGAGTTCTGGTAAAAAAAGAAAATGAATTCTCACAGAATCTAATGAAACTTACACTGAATGTTCAAGATTACAAATAAATGTCATGTGCCAAACAATTTTGGAAGAAAATGTATGCTGGCTGAGTAATGAGCATAGAAAGATAAGGAAATCAGGGTAGTACTAGCCCCCGACACCATGTGTGTTGTCCCATATACATCTTTCCGTGTAAGTGATTGTTACTTTACCAAGACTCTGCCAAATTTATGATGATTTTGATGACTCCAGAACCTTGCATTACACACCATTACTTACATGCTATATGATCAACTTTTCTGATCCATTCCGCACCTTTTATTTCAAAATGCAATCGCATTACCAGAACTCAAGTTTATCTTTAATCTGTGCTTTGTTTGTTCAAGTCAATCGTTTGATGATTCATGTTCAGATTCTGTTGAGATCCAGGAGGGCAAAAATATAGTTGATGCCCTTCTGGTTTTCAGCTCCCATTATTATTTATAATACTACTGAATTAGAACAAATATGGTATCATTATCTAAGCATGAGAACATTCTGAAGTTTGTAGAAAAGTCTAAAAACTTGTTAATTCTAAGTTTTTCATGAACTCTTTCTTTGGGATTTATATTTGAGAATGTTGTCTAATGTGAAGAAGTCTCTTGTGTGCCTGAAATCTAATTTGAAACCAAAAAGTGCCTGTTATTTGTAATTCTTCAATTTGTGTTTGAATGTTCTAAGAGAATACATACTATCATATCTATCAAGAACCAGTAGGGAGTTTGATTATTTGACTAAAGAAGCATATGTTTAGCCAGGAGGGCCCAAGGGGGCCATGCCCTCCCCTCTTTATCTGCTTTAAAAAAGGTGTCAACATGGTTAATAATATTAGCATATACCCCTCTGGTTCTGGGTAGGTAGTATGTTCTTAGAAAATTGTAATAACATTTGTAAAGTTATCTTGAAATATATCATATGTATGTATGGCTAAAAGAGGAAATATTTTGTTTTGTAATCTAGGAATAAGAGAAAGATTTTATGTTTGTTTCTGCTTGCTTTTACTTTTGATGTTTTGAAATTTTCTCAAAAAAAGAATGTAAGCAACCTTATATCCCTTGCCTTGTAAGATTATATACAACATCTTAAACTTTTTGAGTGCAGTAACTTGTGAGTAAAGCTTTTCTGTTTACATCAAGTAATTTTTTCTTCAAAAGACGGGTGCTGAAAAGGCCCAATAAACTTAAAGATAAAGTTGAGTTCTGGTCATGCAAATGCATTGTGAAAGAAAAGGTGTGGAATGGATCAGAAAAAAGTTGATCATGTAGCATGTACATGTAAGTATTGGTGTGTGCTGCAAGGTTCTGAAGTCATCAAAATCACGATAAATTTGGCCCAGTCTTGGTAAAGTAACAAGCACTGTACACAGAAAGATGTATATGGGACTACACATGGTGTCGGGCCCCGACTTACCTTGATTTCCTTATCTTTCTTTGCTCATTACTCAGCCAGTATACATTTTCAACCCAAATTGTTTGGCAAATGACATTTATTTGTAACCTTGAACATTCAGCGTAAGTTTTGTTTGATTATGTGAGTATTCATTTTTTTTAAACCAGAACTCAAGTTTATCTTTAAGCTACAGCTGTGTATGTCTTAAAGAGCCTCAAGCTATGTTGATTCTTGATGAGTAAATTTACATGCACCTAAATCATTTTAAGAGAATGATTAATGACTGCCATGTGGGGGTACTACAGTGCTTAGATTATTTTAATATAATTCTAGTAGCAAATCAATCGTCAAAGGGCTATGTAGCCTATCACAAAGATAAACGGACCATTCGCTTTGCATTGGTGTCTGACTTCTTAAAGGTCAATAATTTTTAAGCTGAACTTGCATGCATTCTGTTGACCTGCAGAAAACATGTAATTCAGTTGACCTTCAAGCATCGTTATTTCACTTCAGTCACAATTAAGAGTTAAATCCTTCAGTCACAATAAAATGAGACTTGAAAGGAAAATGACCACTGTATGTATGATTTTCTCGACAGATGTGCATGGAATTTTTTCCCCTTTCTTTTTACTGTTAGTTATTATTGCCATGTCAGGATATTGGACATTATACTGGCACTGGAATATATTTGTTTTTATTCACTTTTTAATTTCGTATTGACAATTGGACATCTAACTCATGTGTATGGACCTCTCTACTGTGATTAATGTTTCTTTTGAGAGCTTTGGGAAATAAAAAGTCCTACCGGGTAATCATTTTGTTCTGTACCATGTTTGCTTGTTTCTTTGTAGCCCATTGTAAAAGCAAACCCTTTGAAATGTACTTATTTAGCCTCGTTTTTTATGCAAGATATGATTTTATTTTTTGTACCATTTTGTTGGTCATTGTCAATCATATTCTTATAGTTGCAATACTAAAAAGGATAATGTTGACCGTGAAATTTGAGCCAGATGAATAAAAATTTGATAGAAAGTCAGTTTTGAGACAAGTGTTTTTTGTGTCTGTCTTATTGACTTTTATGTTATCATTTTTTATGCCTCCGTTACGAAGTAGCCGGAGGCATTATGTTTTCGGGTTGTCCGTCCGTCCGTACGTCCGTACGTCCCGTTCTTGTGATCGCGTTATCTGAAGAACCGATTGATGGATTCCTGCCAAACTTTGGTCATGTATGTATCTTGCAGAGCCGATGAGCTGATTAGATTTTGGGGTCACGAGGTCAAAGGTCACAGGGCTCATTATGTATGCTGAAACAGCTTGTGATCGCGTTATCTCAAGAACCGATTGATGGATTCCTGCCAAACTTAGGTCATGTATGTTACTTGCAGAGCCGATGAACTGTTTAAATTTTGGGGTCATGAGGTCAAGGTCAAAGGTCATGCGGCTCATTATGCATGCAAAAATAGCTTGTGATCGCATTATCATTAGAACAGATTGATGGATTCCTCCCAAACTTAGATCATGTATGTATCTTGCAGAGCCAATGAACTGAGTAGATTCTTGGGTCATGAAGTCAAAGGTCAAAGGTCATGGGCTCATTATGTATGCAAAAATAGCTTGTGAACGCATCTCAGTAGAACTGACAGATGGATTACTATTTAACTCGGGACATCTTGCAGAGCCAATGAACTGAGTAGATGTTAGGGTCATGTGGTCAAAGATCAAAGGGTCATATACATGTATGTATATGAGAAATTGCTTGTTATCACGATATTCTGAGAACCTGTTAATGGATTACAATTGAACTTGAATTTGAACAATTTCTTCTGTTTTGGTTTGTAAAATTGCTCTATGACGGAGGCATCATTTCGACTGCGCGCAGTCGAAGTTCCATCTAGTTATAATGTAGATCTACTTCAAAAATTTAATTACAGCTACAGCTACGGGTGTACCAGTAGGGTACACTAGCATATCAGTACTGGTATGTTTATAATGGTATACTGGAACTGTATTTGTAAACCGGTACCGCAACACACCAGGGGTGTTTAACAAAGATGCTAAGCCTTAAAATCAAAATATATTAAAAAGCAAAAATTCAAGTATTTCAGACTTCTTATAAATTCCATGTCAAGAACATGAAATCTTAAAATAATTTTTACAAAATATTTTCATAGATGCAACGGCTTTCCATAATTATTAAGTCCAACATAGAGATAGTTCAACTTAGGATCTTTGTGAAACACCCCCCTGTATTGGTACAAAAGAATAAATTTTATCGACTCGTAATATAACAACACTGTACACAAAATGAATTTCAATGTATTTTCGTTTATTAGATAAATATTGAATGGCAACAAGAGAACGCATTCCGCATTCCTTCTACAAACTACCTTTTTTTCTTCTTTTTTTCACATCTGTACATAAATAAGACGAGAAATAGCCCTTCATCCACCTGAAACCCTCTCACCTGCCAATATTTCATTATTTCACAAAAAAAGTATATCACAATCTCTTCATTTTGAAGAATTATCATTTCATCTTGGCGCCTTTGAATCATTCAATCATTTGAAATTGCTTAAATTTAATTTCTTTAAAAATTGAGAGGTTATTGTGGAGCTGGTATTGCTTCAAAATACTGATTCCTGGTCAGAGACAAAAACATACAAGAACAAACAATGTTTGAAATGAACTAATTGTTTGCACTTGTATGTTTTCCTGCCACATCTGAAATAAAGATTTGACATTAAAGTAGACGTATATACAGACACAATGTGCATTTAAGATGTGATAGTCTAGTCCGGTCAAACATTAACATTGTCACATATCACGTAATGAAATGTAAAGAGCCAAAGCATACAACTCTTGGGGAAACATGTTTCATAATAATTAGCTCCGACAAGTAGAGACATTTATCTTTAAACTCAAAAGAAGTGCAATGTTTAAAGGTGTTATTACACATTAACAAACAATGCTAGAAGAACAGGATACTAATATAATTTCCTCATGGAAATCACAAAGATTATATTCGATCTGTAGTAGCAACAACCTGGAGCATTGTGGGAGTTCTGCTACAAAATAACACTTTCTCTCGCCCATTGATTTTCTATTTTTTGCACTTCCTTCTGAATGTTAAATTTCTATGATAGTCTCCCTTTAACCACACTGTATGTTAAGGAATATCAGATGTTAGCACCTGACAACACCCCCTCCTAGGTTTGAAAGGTAATCTTTTATAAAACATCAATAAAGATTAGCTCAAATATTTTTATTTCAACAATATACTTGTAAGCCTTAAAGGCCGTTAACGATCTGACTCAAGGTGCCGTGCAATTCAATATTGCATGAAGAAAAGAAAGAAACAAAATCACATCGCGGACAGGGTTTCACTTTTTTGAAATACTAAAAGTGGAAAAATAAAGGTTCATTCAAAATGGGGCAGTCCAAGTTGGTAGCTATCACTTTTTAAAAGGATAAACAACTTGAAAATGTAGGGTACCAAAGGCAAAGAATTTATAATTTTCAAATAAATGAGAAATGGAGATTCTTTTGATGCATATATCAAGGGAAAACAAATTACCAAAAGGTTTTATATTACATTCGTTAATACATTCTGAAATTTCACAGAAGTTGGGGTCAAATATACCTTGCATAGCAAATCTCCTTTACTTTCAAGTCAAATTAGAAAGCACTTATGTCAAGTCTATGATGAATTGTTCTTAGAAAGCAAGATATTAAAAACAAATTAAAGAATTTGGAATTTTAATTTTGTTGTCTTTAGAGTCTGAAAATGATAAAAGTACTTTGCAGGATATTTGAGAGAAAACAGACAATTTAAAATGAGATATAAAGACAGTCAATTGAAAAATCATATGAAAAATCATTAAATTAAGCTCAATAAGTAATCGATCAGAGATGGAATGTTCATAGGACCCATTTTGACTCGAAAGTGATGAAAAATGTGAAAAGAAACAACTATGAATTAAAAATAAAAGCAGTGCACAATCATCACATTATGGATACTACAGGACAAGACTATAAAAATAAGCATATTAAAACAAGACATAATCTCAAAAATAGATTTATGCTTTTATCATGCTTTTGATCTTCATTAAATCGGTAAGAAATCTTGACTCTTGTCACTTGTTGGGAAAATGAGGATAATTCTACACTTGTTGCCCCAAAAAAGCATTTTAAACATTTGTAGAAACAGTCTTTGTTCTTTGTGTTGGTCGCTTCCTGAAAATCTATTTGGCACTTTGCATCGTCACGACGTCCGTAGGTGACTAAACTGCCCTTAATCCTGTCTGTGAAACCCCTTTGTTACCAACTATACATAAGAAAGCACCTAGGTTACATGCATATAGTTTGTCTCCAGCTAAGAAAAGACAGTTTTTCTTTTATACACTAAAAAAAAGAAGACTAAACCCATCCTTGTGTTTCAGAAATACCTATGTACAAAGACATCATTTGAACTTTGGAGGAAAGACAATCATTTTTTTTCTTCTCTCGTGTTGTAAACATGAAAAAACAAAAACAAAAAGGGCAATACATATAAACAAAAATACATGTACTTACAAAACCAGAAACATTTGTTTAATAAAAAAAGGTTTTACAGAAGAGAAAAAATAACTTAGGGTCTGGTAATTACAATGCTGAATACATGTGTTTATTATTAGAGTATCGCCGTTCCGACGAATGAAAATTATTTTGTCACAACCGATAGTCCCAGAAAGTTTAAGGTCTAGGAAAGCGAGAGACATTAACAAAAAATATCCTTTCCCTTGTCACAACACCTGAAAATGAAGTATTTCAAATATAATTTATCAACAACAACCAGTATTACTGCATAAATATACGGAGATTCTCCCAAACAGCCAAGTATTTACATTATACAAAACATGAGCATGACAAAAATGCTCCCCTAAAAAGGTCCTCAAAATAGTCTTTCTTTTAAAACACTTTCCTCCCTTGCTAAACCAATAATATTGTATTTCTCTTGCTTCATCTCTCACATATTTACTCTCTCCCTCTCTCTCTCTCTTTCTCTCTCTCATTCTAAACAATTTAAAACATATTTCTTAAGCATATTCAAAAAAGCTTGAGATTATCAGAATTCCTTTTGGCAATAAATATTCTACAATACATGTCACTGGGAATGAAATAATGAACCGATCAAAAGACAAATAATTTCTAGGTTCAAAATCAAATTTCGTTAAACAGACTTTAACAGCCAAACATACAAATCTTCACCATATGTTATTGTCCATTAAAAGATGAAAAAGATGCAATGGTGTTGGGGGAGGGGGGTGTCCGGGTATGTGACGACATATGGCAGAGTTTTAAGCAAACTGAACTCCAGGCAAAATTAGGCGCTAGAGAATTGCCCAAGACAGAGTAAGCTCACTGGACGGGAAGGGGAACGTAATGTTTGGTAACAACCAAGATGAATGATTATCATTGGCTAAAAGTTAATTTCTTCATGCAAAGAAGATAAAGTTGCTTTACTTTATAATACATTAAGTGGTGACAACTTATCAAACTACAATATCGTAACAGCTGCATACAATGGCCCAACTTGTCTGACCTTTGACCCCCTCCTCCCAAAAGCCATAAGTATATCAGACTTTTATGTAAGAGCAAAAGGTACTCATATAATATCATTCATTTTCTTCAAGCACTGGGCACGCACTACTCATGGCACTGCTCAAAATTATGGAACAAAACGTACTAGCTTTAATAGTCCAGAGTATGAAAACTCACTACATTTTGGGCACAAGGAACCTGCCCACAGCACAAAAACAGTCGATTAGGAATGCTTCTAAGGCTAGAACATGGAATTTTGTTGGATAAGGCTGCTGTTTTGTTTTTACATTTTCCCATCTCCTCTATAGGTGGTCACTTGTGTCTCAATAACAGAAAATGCTACAAAAATATCCATAAGAATAAAAGCAAAACACACACAAAAATAATGAGCTTCCTTCCAGGCACAATAATGTAGAGAATATGACTGATGGTCCTAGTAATGACTTATGGTCCTGGTTAGCCGAGGACAATCTGGCTCGTAAACATGTCTTGTCAGGTAACAGTTTTTTTTTCAGGCTTTGAATACTGTTTACTTTGGCTGTATTGTCCGATGACTTCTGCAGTATTCATCGACGAGTCTGAATTTTATGAACAAATATCACATAGCGGCCGGCAATGAGGGGGATGGTTTAATAAGTAGCACGAAGCACAGATTTTCATCTTGTATCATCAAAATATAACTCTTCCTCTGAAAACCCCGAATAATTAACCTTTTCAAAAAATTTACACTTTACAAGAAATAAATTACAACAAAAGCACAAACAGTAATAAGTTAGCGATTCAACCTTTCACATTAACAAAAAAGACGACTAAAATCTGTCCTTTAAACTCACACAGTTGTGTGATATCTTTCTTTTATACAAAACTTGCGAGTTGCTTTGATTGCTTCGCGCAAACATCATGAAATGAGTTCACAAACTCAAGGTATTTTTATTGAGTATTTACAGGTAGAAGGAAAAATGCAGAGATAAGAAAACAAGTTCAGGTTAACAAAAATTTGAAGAGGGAGTTTGCTGCCTGTTTGGAATTGTTGTATTTTCTTCCTTACAACCGACATGATTTGATGCCTGTACCCCTAGGAAGGCAAGGGAGATAGCTTTAAATCCATCCATGCTAATGATGATCGATTTCTGCCAACCCATCAACAAACGGTGATGCCTTCGGAAGTGTTCTCAGTTAATTTCCACCTGTTGATTTCAAAATTCTCTCACACTATCACCACTACATCTGTATAGACATACTGCCTTTTAGACGTACTGCCTTTTCAGAAACCTGAACCAAGGGCATCACACCCACTTATATTTCAAAGACGTCAACCAACTTTTGATCTACACTCGAGTCGACTCGACAGATGAATTGATGTCTGCAAAATCATATGATGTTCTGTTCTTTAACTCTTGGAGGCCTTTAACACCCTGCATCGAACAGGTGCCCATGTCATAAGAAAATTGAATGAATCCCCTTTTTTATCTTCAAGCTTCTGCTTGCTTGTTTGCATGATGTGTTAGACCCTCAAGCTGAATTAAGAATTGGCTAAATAGAGATGAAAATGATCCAGATTAGCTTCATCATTTGGGCCTCCTGAACTGTGAGCATCATGCACCGTTCTTTTATAATCTGCTGGTCAATCTTGGCTCTTAACCACAGGCAAACTTGAAGCCTATTATTTCTGTTTCCTTCAGATAGAAACTCTGATCTACCAGGCAGGTAGTGAAGCACAGAGATGTGATCGAATCTGTGTTAAGTGGACAGGCAGCAATCATCTCCTCCCTCCTAAAAGGGTTGTTCATCGGGCGGGCGTGCCGCTCTGCAGCACTTCTTCGGCAGCTTAATATTCTCATCCAAACTAAACGAGAAACTTCACATGTCAATTCCTCTTTATCAAGTTCTCTCCATGCAGTCTTGCAAAAAGCCGTCGTCCATCGTTGTACTGCCCTTTCCCGTCACAACCATCGGAAGCCGCCTCAGCCTTGGGACGATGAGCAGTGTCTGTTACCATGACAACATCAAGCTAACTCAACCTCACGCAAGTCGTCGATTGCAAACCCTATCTCTGTGAAATCTCTCCTCGACTTGTCTTGGAGTCGCAAACCTCCTTTGGGTTTGTCTAGCACCGATTTCAATAACATCTAATCATTATCTGTCTCGCGTCTTGGAGTCTCTTTCTTTCACAAAAAAGTTTGTATAGTCTTACTCTCACGAGTCAAATAATGAAAGGAGTTCGTCGCTGTCGTTGTTTGCGGCTGAATTGTCGCTTTGGCCAAGTATCGAGAGAATGTCCACGTCTACCATGTTGTCCGATAGTAACTGTGGGATGAAAATGACAGAGAGAGAGAAAGTTATAAGGATTGTCAAATATTCATATGAGTTTACAGAAGATTTTTAATCACCTATTGAAATTGAGAATAGTGAACTTGTTACTGATACCCTGAAATTTACAGGCTTCATGTACATTCAAACCTTTCTACAGCGACTGCCCAAGGGAAACAAAAAATGTGCTTGTTGTAGATAGGTGGTCTTTGTAGACAGGTTCCTTTAGTACATGTTTCTATGAGAAACCATTTTCAAGGGAAACAACAATGTGCTTGTTGTAGACAGGTGGTCACTAAAGCAGGTTTGACCGAATTTTCAAATGTTCAAATCAGCTGAAATCATCTACTTGGAGAAAACATGTGATGCCCAACAGTGATATAATTGATGAGAATGGATAAGTGGAGATATACTTACATCTAAGCCTTCCTGGCCCTCTCCTCCCCCATCTATAACGGCCGCTGGGTCAAAGTCTAAATTATGACTGGCATTGTTGACCTGATTGTTTGATATGCTGTTATTTCTGGAGTGAGAGTCCAGCCCCACTACACCCCCGTTGGTCGTGGGGTTCCCACTCATTGGACCATGGCCAAGTAATGCTGGAAGTTGATTGGTCGATGAGGTGTTGGGTGGTGGTCCAGGGTTAGGGGATTGGTGGGAGCGCTGGTTGTTGTTCATGGTGTTCATGCCGGGGTGAGAAGGTGGGTTGGACGACGCCCCTGGCGTGTGGGGTTGTTGGATCATCGAGGTAGAGGTGGTATTGCCCATGCTGTTGGGCGTCGGCGGCATGTTGCCAGGCGTGTGCGGGTTCATATTGTTGCCGGGCGTGTGCGGGTTCATATTGTTGCCAGGCGTGTGGGGGTTCATATTGTTTGGAGTATGGGGGTTCATGTTGATGTTGTTCGGGGTATGGGGATTCATGTTGTTGGGAGTATGGGGGTTCATGTTGGGGGTCATAGGCCCCACCCCCGGTGTACTTGGTCCCATGCCAGGTGTATGGGGCGGTACCCCTGGTGTCGGGGGTCTCAGGTTGGGGTTGCTGGTATGCATGGAGCGTGGGGAGGCGATGGAGGCTGATGTTGGGGTACCAGGACCGGTGGGATTGTTCCTGGGGTGATGCTGCATCGGGGAGGGGTGTCTGTGAGGCTGCTGGCCTGGTGGGTGGGGCTGATTCATACCCATGGGCTGTCAAGATACAAACAAAAATACTGTTCAATACAGGGCTTCATGTAGAACAGAATTGAAATAACTGATGATGCCACCCTAGTAAAATAAACTCAATAAATAAATATTCAAAATCTAGTATAGACTCCTGTAATGGAAATTACAAATAATTTCCTAATTTTAGCTTGCCCTATGTATGCTGGTAATGTAGCATCAATTAATATAGGCAAAATAAACTCCATAGATCTCATCCATACATCAATATCATACAGTGCAGGCAAAATGAGGTGTTTTTTGGCAAACCATCCATAAATTTGGAAACAGATGGCAGCCATACAAATAAATATGCCTCAAAATACTTACCGGTAATGCATGATTGAACTGTTTCTCCACTGGGTACATGTCTGTGGTAGCGATGTTATCGTCTGTCATCATGGTAGGGCCATTGAAGCTGTTGGGGTTGGGGGTCATGTTTGGTGCCCCTCCACTACCCCCTCCTCCCCCGCCGCCCGCACCGTGGGGTGATAAGCCAGGGAAGTTTCGGAAGTTGTTGGGACCCCCAACGTTGGGATTGGCGTTTGAATTTGGTCTCATCGCTGCAAAGAGAGGAATTTAAAAAAGAATCGGTTATAGTAATTATCTGACATGAGATACATGTGTCATTTCATTGCACCCAGTGACGGAATAATAACTGTATTATGTAAGTTGATTGAAAGCACTTGAACAAACAACACAATAGTGTATTCTTAAAAATGTACTGCTTCTGATCTCAAAGGCATGATATTCTATCGATCATAAAAACAAAGCACTGTTCAATTAAGAAAGATTAGTCAGAAGAGTTTGGAGAGTGTGTAAACACAGATCAATTTGACATTATACATTATTCATTATGCCTTGAATCCGCTCCATGCATATTAATCTACATTTGCCACTCTCCACCCAGGTGTTAAATAGGTACCGGTAGGAAGAAATTCCTTGAATCCTGTGAGCACCAAAATTGGTAGCCTAGCAGAGCCAGGGTAATATTGGAACACATTGAGCACCTTGCATGGTGGATATAAAAAAATATCCAATATTATTATCATTCTTGCATAGTTCAAAGGTCATGAGGATGCTCGATGGCTAAGTGGTAGACCAGGGGGGTGTTTCACAAAGATCCTAAGTTGAACTTATCTCTAAGTTGGACTTAAGAATTATGGAAAGTCGTTAGCATCATTGAAAATAATTTGTAAAAATTATTTCAAAAGGCATAAAATGTTGATTCAAATCATTCATTTTTTCTATTATCAAGAAGATTTCATGTTCTTGTGAAATTTATGAAAAGTCAAAAATACTTGAATTCTTGCTTTTGAATATATTTTTTAAATTTAGGGCTACAAATGGCTCTCCGTAATGTTTAAGTCCAACTTTAAAGTTGGACTTGGGATCTTTGTGAAACACTCCCCAGTCCTAGGGGTAAGCTAGGGAACCTACCTCCATTGAATTCAGCTGGTGATGACATGTTAGGTAGAGGGTACGGTGAGGGACTAGGTCCACCTTCATACTGGTGCGTGCTAGGCATCGTCATGCTCCCTGGTGACATAGCTTTATGCCTCTTGGGTGCGTGGCATGAGTCTGAGCAGATCAAAAGAAAATGAGTTTGACTTTGAGTTTGAGTTTGAAGTTTATTATCCAAACAAAAAGTACATCAATATGGTTTCATCTATTGTTATCTTTTAATTCTTCAATTCCTTTTTTTTTAGTTCTGTACGAAGGATACATGTATTATTTTTTTTTAGCAGTACCAGAATTCCACCAATCGCAGAACACCTTGTACAGAGCGTGAAGATATAAAATACAGAAGAAGAATAAGAAGAAAACATGTGACGGAAAAGGAATCCTCGTCCAAGGCCTTTGTGGGAATCATTCACATTAGGGATTTGAACCCTAAACCTTTGTGGTACCATACCTGGTTCCTCCTCTTTGAATTCACTCTTTATAGGGACCGGTTTCCAGCTCGCTGAAGCATCTATCGTCACCTCCTCAAAATCGGCTGACTGGACCGCTGTCAGTATCCCCCACATAAACTGGTCTACCTCCAGTCCTTCTAGTAATGCAGTTTTGCTACAAAGAGACAAGAGAAGTACCACCACAAAAAGAGTTAATAAATGCCTATTCATAAACAATGGAAACAGATTTACATATGTATTTATGATATTGAGATAATATAAATGATATTGTCGCATGGATGACATGCAAAAAGACATTGCTGACCAAGATATCAATGATAGTGAAGATAAAGATGATGATGATGATAACAGAGATGATAATGATGAGTACAATGATGGTGATGATTATGATGATGATGATTAAGATGATGATGATGATGATGATGATGATGATGATGGTGATGATGATGATGATGATGATGATGGTGATGGTGATGATGGTGATGATGATGGTGATGATGATGATGATGATGGTGATGATGATTAAGATAATGATGATGATGGTGATGATGAAGATGATGGTGATGATGTTTAAGATAATGATTAAGACAATGATTAAGATAATGATGATGGTGATGATGATGATAATTAAGATAATGATGATGGAGATGATGATGATTAAGATGATGTTGATGATTAAGATAATGATGATGGTGATGATGATGATTAAGATGATGATGAAGATTATGATGATGGTGATAATGATGGTGATGATGATGGTGAGATGATTAAAATGATGTTGATGATGATGATGATGATGATGATGATGATGATGATGAATAAGATAATGATGATGGTGATGATGATGAATAAGATAATGATGATGGTGATGATAATGTTGATCATGATGATGATGATGGTGATGATAATCATAATGATGGTGGTGACAATGCAAACGATGGTGATATTGACAATGAAAATGCTGATGATGATGACGATGAAGGTGATACTGATGCCAATAAAGACAATGAGAGTGATGATTGATGATGATGAGCCACTTACTTGCAGACAGGACACCTCCATGACCCCCTTTCACAGTTGAGCTGGAGGTAGGACTCCAGATCAAAGCACTGGATATGTTTACAGTCATGCCCTCTCGCAGGAAGGGTAATACGTTTGTACGTGATGGGACACTTTAGTGAGACCTTGATCGCTGTCTGCTCAACCCCATCCTCGCTCAGTCCGCCCGTCGATGATGCCACGCTTGAGAAATTCCTCTTGACTGCAGGGTTAATAATAAAACATATCATGTTACTTCACTTCAAATTCAATCTTTAGATGCAGGAGGCGCGATGGCTCAGTGGTAGAGCAGTGGTATCGTCACCGGGAGGTACCGGGTTCGAAACCAAGTCGATGCACTAGTGACCTTTAGTATGGTATGGCATTAATCTTTGTTAGCAATCAGATTTATTGAACAAACAAGCAAAAAGGTAGTGTTCAAAGCTTTTTAAATGGGAAATTATCATAAATTCAGCACTGCCACTCACGGCTTGGATAATTGCAAAGAAGAGCGTTGTGTAAAATATAACTTAAGAAAATATATGCATGTACACTGTAGGTTCATAATTCAATTAATATGTAGATTAAAGTCAATGATTTATTCTACAGTACTCTTTTGTATTATCATATCATATTTAAAGTTGAAATAATACTACTTTAAAGTAATATACATAAAACTCCCTGAAAGTGAATATAGGACATAGAACCATTTCACAATTTCTTTGTAAAAGAAAACAAGAACATGTGCCACAACATGCAGATGTTGCTTCATTAACAAAACAAAAACTATACTTTTGTTCTAGCTTCTCGTACAGATATTTTCCTGATGCAAGAGTACATTGAGATTCCCCCCCCCCCCCCTCTCCCCAACCAAAATAAACAATTAAATAAGCAAACAAATCAACCTAGTTTACATCTGTGTTACACCTACTTTTTGTTATGCAGTGTTCGGCAGGTAGCAATCTCTTTCGGAGTAGTCGTTGTAATACTGATTTGACGGTCGGTCGGTACACCAATTGCAAAACAAATAGATGAGACTGTACAAAACAAAAGAGGGAGGCAGATAATGACATTAATGTGATCTCGAGGAGTATCTAAAATATAATTTGCTAACAGTCATGATGCCCATGGACTCTCTAGACAATGTGTAGGTATCAATGTGGATAAGCTACAACACTACTGTATGGATCAACTGATCATGACTTGAATCAAATGTTTGGCAAGATATGATTTAATTGAATGATTTGAGCATCTTAAACATCTTATATAGCAGCTAAGACATTATGACACCATCTTCCTCCCCTCCCTCTTCCCACCCCCTTACCCATCCCCTCATCCTTCCCCTCCCCTTCCCAGTCCTCCCCCGCCCCTCCCTCTTCCTATCCCCTCTCCCTTCCCCCTCTTCCTATTTCCTATCCCCTCTCCCTTCCCCCTCTTCCTATTTCCTATCCCCTCTCCCTTCCCTCTTCCTATCCCCTTCCCCTTCCCCCTATCCATCTGAATAGAAAGAAAACAAACTTACACAGCAGCAAGCCCTGACAGTAATTTGAATAGTGTTCCTGCCTGGTTGACACACCCCTTTAAGATAGAGGGGCTTGTGAGAGGTCTTGTTGTCGCCCCTCTCTATGGTCAGTGGGTTAGCATTGACCGACACCTGGACAGAGGCCGGCCAGTTTGTGTGCATCTGTCTGTCTTCATGGTGATAGCACTTGAATTGAAGTTCCAAGTCCGATCTTAGAAAGGAAAAGAAAAAGAGAGCAATATCTTGAGATCCTGATAAACTTTTTTTTGATGCCAAAGGAAATGGAAGAAAGTATAACCCACTGACTTTCATGTGGAAAATCTTGATACTTTTTTCTGACAAAAAAGTCAATGTATCTTTACAAGGAAGCAGAACAAATTAATGATGAAAATTATATAAAATGCAGCCCTCCCCCATTTCACAGAGTATGGCATGATTTATTGTTATTGTCGTCATATTACTGAATAAGTTGAAAATTACACTGTTGACTCTCCTATATGTACATATAATATCAAAAGACGAGATGAAGACACTACAATCTCCAGAAGCAGATTAACAGGAATACATGCCAATCCAATCCAATCCAGGAATTCATAAAGCGCTTGTATCTAGTTGCCTAATCAAAGGCGCCGATGAGACTGAAAAAGCTACCAAAAACATTGAATAAAGTCCAATGGATACTGCATCAGAAATGGATTAATTGTTCAGGTATTTTGTACTCTTGCTGCTCAAATACTGTATTTTGTAATTCATAACAAACTTTATAAAAAGATTACCCCCCCCCCCCCCCTCAAAGAGCAGATGGCTAAAGCCTCGGTCACAAATGCCATTACGAACTGCTACAAACGCCATACAAACAATTTTCAGACAATGGAAAAACAGGGAGACTCGTACGAAATTGTGACCGTAGCATAAATGAGTATATTATTGAGAGCTGCGGGCACGTCAGGCTACTTTGCTTATTCTGTAGCCCTCCAGCATCTAATGTATGTTAATTATGCATTCAATATATTTGTTTAATTTCGTATATTATCTGTATAAAATTATGTACACTTGAAATATTGTATCAAACCATATTATGTTCATGAAAATGTATAATGAAAAAGAAAGAAAAAAGGATGCGGAAACCAAAAAATCAAATCAAATCATATCAAATAAAATTAGTATGTTTCAGTGTTGCCAATTTGCTACTTACCTCCACATAAGGGTTTGATGGACTGACTGCCTGAGGTGGAAGACGTGGTTACTGACGGCTAGATTGTGCTCTAACCTGAACGGTTCCAGCACCACACCATCTCGTACAGGGAACGTCATGCACATCTCGTCGCTTGCTGCTAGGCAAGATCAAATGAAAGAAGATTAATATTTGACAAACCACTTTAAAGGGATTGGGTAACTTTATCTCAGATTCTGAAACAAAATCCTGGATTTAGCTCACGCTGCAATGATAATTATAAACCTTTAGGTTAGTCAGGAACTCCATGACTTTTACAAGCCGATCGCCTGTCTGATTATCAAGATATTTATGATTGGAAATCAAATTCAAATTTTGCGTTTTCCTGACAGTTTTTTGTAATCTTACAGTCTATTGGGAAAAATAAGTACGGTAAAACCTGTCACTCAAAGATTTTTACTTTTTTGAGGCATTTCATGATCATTTTGGAGTGCAATTTTTTATAGGGCTTCAATACTACACCATATCACAGACACTGATAACAAGTAGGGCCGTGCATCTCAGATGTATCATTGTTAAACGATGCCTTACAGACACTTAGATTTATGAAAATAATGTTCATATTATATTTATTATTGGGAACCTACAAAAAACAAGCAATGCTTTCCAGTAGGTTCCTGTTTCATTTCATAATTTTGAACTTACTTTGTCAACTGTGTTCTTTATTGTGCAAACAATTGATATGAAATGGAATGAATTTGAATCAATCAATCAATCAAGAATGATGTGCATACCCTTCTCATTATTTATACTCATGATAAATAACAGCATGATTGTTATTTTATCACATAAAAAAACAACTTGTACTTTGTTTTGAAATGTATATGTAACATGAGAAATATGAAATGAAATGAAATTTTGACTGGCGTTGATGAGCTAGCTTACCTGTCTTCATGTCAGGTGGTCTAGGGAAAGGTTTGATGTCACCGGGCCCTGTAGGTGACATGTAAGGTGGGGGAATGTTGGGACTCGGTGTGAGGGGCGGCGTCGGGTTACCCGGCATCGGTGACTGGAAGTTGATTTGTTGTGCATTATTCTGCTGAGAAGGATGGTAAAGAGAGAGAGAAGGTATGATAAAGAGAGGGAGAAGGTATGGTAAAGAGAGGGAGAAGGTATGGTAAAGAGAGGGAGAAGGTATGGTAAAGAGAAGGAGAAGGTATGGTAAAGAGATGGAGAAGGCATGGTAAAGAGAGGGAGAAGGCATAGTAAATAGAGAGAGAAGGTATGGTAAAGAGAGAGAGAAGGTATGGCAAAGAGAGGGAGAAGGCATAGTAAATAGAGAGAGAAGGTATGGTAAAGAGAGGGAGGAGGTATGGTAAAGAGAGGGAGAAGGTATGGTTAAGAGAGGGAGAAGGTATGGTAAAGAGAGAGAGAAGGTATGGCAAAGAGAGGGAGAAGGTATAGTAAATAGAGAGAGAGAAGGTATGGTAAAGAGAGGGAGAAGGTATGGTAAAGAGATGGAGAAGGTATGGTAAAGAGAGGGAGAAGGCATAGTAAATAGTGAGAGAAGGTATGGTAAAGAGAGGGAGGAGGTATGGTTAAGAGAGGGAGAAGGTATGGTACAGAGAGAGAAAAGGTATGGTAAAGAGAGAGAAAAGGTATGGTAAAGAGAAGTCAAGAGTATGAAGTTCTCTACACAGCAAGATGATAACATGTACATGATTATATTCAGAATCATACAAAAGACGTAATACAGGTTTTTGTGTGATAAATCCTGCATTAAAGGTTCTATGTCCCATTTGCAGCCAACATCAAATTCTGTAGAACTTTGCAGGAATTAAGAATATGTCACATTTAGCCTATGTGAAATTTAAACGTTAGCAGCATCCTAGTATTCAAATCATGCAAGGAAACCTGTTTACTTTCTAGACTTCACTGTCAGACACTTTTGAGTGACTGACTGACTTTTTTCTTCTCTGGTAATAACATACATACAATGAGCTGTAAAGGGTGCATGAGCATTTGACTACATCAATAACCCAATTCTTGTAATGGCCAAAAATAAACTGATTGAATCTTTGCGCAGCACAAATGTACGGCCATTCTGTAAAAGGGTCTAAAAATCAGACTATAACTTAGATGATTGCAATCGCTTAAGTCGATTAGACAACTAACAGTCATTATTTTCCTACTTAAAGACATTTTCAAGCCCTTTTGTTTCTAGGGAAGTTCTGAGGAATATAAGAGGTGATATGTACATTTCTATATTCAATATAAATTCCATATTAATAGCAAATTTCTTTTCCTAATGGATACTTACCATTGCCTGTGGTGCTGGCATGGAACCCATGTGCCCCTGTGGTGGAGGGCCTCCCCGGGGGAAGAATTGGTTACCCTGCTTGTTGATGTACCCGCCTCCTCTCATGGGGCCTTGCATGGGACCAGGCATCGGGCCTGGGATGGGCCCTCCCGGCTGGCCACCTGGATGGCCCCCTGGATGCCCGCCTGGATGGCCACCTGGATGCCCGCCTGGATGGCCGCCGGGATGACCGCCTGGATGCCCCCCTGGATGCCCGCCTGGATGCCCGCCCGGATGCCCGCCCGGATGCCCACCTGGGTAGGGGCCAGGTTTCATGGGCATAGGGCCCTGAGGTCCCATCTGGTACCCTTGCTGGTTCATGGGATTCTGTACAGCAGAAGAAAAAGTGAAAGAGAGAACTGCTACGGTACAGAAAATTAACTCAACATATTACCATCATTTGCCTCTGGTCTATTACCAGTAGATGTAATTTAATGATTGCATAATCCTGTAAGGCCCGTAAATTGTTAACCCGGGCCGTGCCTTATCAATATACCAACTCATCTTTAGTTTGGTATCAGTTTAAAAGCTTTGCATAAGATATGGCCCTGGTCTCATAGCACATGATGTTGGGGGGGGGGGGGGGTCAGGTTTTTCATGACAACGCCCTAACCACTATCTTCAAGCCTTTGGATACTGCTACTAAATTTAAGGAACATTGATCAATAGAGACGTGTGTTTATTTTTTAATGATTCTTGATTTGGTCAACTGACAAGAGAGGATGGTGGTGGTAGTGGTGATTGTTTTACCTGATTGCTAAGAAAGCATAAATGCTTTTTAGTAAGCAACCAGAGGACCGACGGCTTTAGGTCCTCTCCGAAAGACCAGGTAATGAGGATAAATGCCTTACCAAAGGGCACTAGGGCATCGCCTTGGTTTCGAACCCGGGTTGCCAGATTACAAGACCACTGCTCTACCTACTGAGCTATCGCGCCTCCTCTGATAGTTTGCTTACCGGGTTATATCCTTGGGGTCCAGGGAAAGGCCTCTTGTTGTAGGAAGCAGGATGGGGCTGTGGACCAGCCATACTCCTGTTGGGCCCCATCTGACCAGCATACATAGGGTGCTTGCCCGGCCCCCCTCCGCCCATCATCGGCCCCATCTGATGCATGCCTCCCGGTGGGTACTGGTTGACAAACTCCTGCTGCGGTCTCATCTGAAAGAGAAAAAGGAGATACTGGATTTTAGATGATGATAAGGGCTGAGTTTGGAAAGTGTGAAGTTCAAACAAAGTCTAGATGCATGTAATGTAGCTTTCTTTTAAAGCCCCACTGCACTACTTATAGCTACTTGCGCCCTCTAAATAACAAATAATGCCTTATCGGTAACCATAGGTCCACCATGATCCTCTTTTTCTTATGTTAATTGAGAGCTGATTTGATGAGATAACCACCTGTCCAGTGACCTTGCAGGGTGGTCCAATCCCTTCTGCACACTAGTACAGATGGGCTTTATACAAGGTCAGCAGGAAGGAGTTGCAATGATGCCAAACATATGCTACTGTTTTTTTTCTTTTTTCATTACTTTGTTTTAATATTTTCACAATGGGTTCTCTACTTTGAGGCACTTTTCAAATCATTATGGTGATGTTGGACGAGTAGTTCTACTGTCCTTAATCTCACGTTAAACTATAATTGGATCTAAAATATGAGAAAGTGCCTTGCAACTTCCACTGCTACATAGATTTATAACTATTTTGCTAATCAGGAAGGTTCATCATTCATGTAGTTTCATATCTTTTCCTCCATACATCTACTTAAAAAAACAAAAATGGTGAATTAAGGCAGGTTACAGAGTGTGTAATGTGCTAGAGGTGAACAGAAGCGATAGTCAACAAGAAGAGCCAATAGAATCCACCTTTTAAAAAACCAATCACACAAAGTATATCACCTGCTAAGAGCCCAAAGTGTGGTCTACTCATATACTTTGATATACATTTAATGCCCTTCTTGCTCTTAACAGGTGATAATGATCAAACACATTAATGTGAATAGGTAAAGCTTGGAAAAACTGAGTTTGTGAAATCACATAACACAATACACATTTCCCTCACTTTCCACGTCTATTTTAGGATATTTATGGAATTGTGATAAAGATTGGAGGAAAATAATAAGAGGAAGGTGGAGAGGGTCAGGCCATCGATCCTTAAAGAGAAGGTTGAGTTCTGGGAAGAGGTGACAAATAATTTGTGAGCGTTATCATTGTTATTATGCAAGTGTGGAAGAACATCAGATAAAAAATGTTCCCTGAAAAGCATGGATCTTCAAATGCCTTAATATTCTAAATATGGCATGTAACATCATACAAATTGGGACAGATTTTTATGCCAGATGTTTGTGTAGTCCCATATATATCTTTCTGTGTACAGTGCTTGTAACTTTACCAAGACTGGGCCAAATTTCTTATCATTTTGACGATTCCAGAACCTTGCAGTGCACACCAACACGTATATGCTAGATGATCAACCTTTTCTGATGATTCCACAACGTTTCTTTCACAGTGCAATCGCATGACCAGAACTCAACTTTATCTTTAATACTGACCACTTCAAGATACGTGAAAGGAACGAGTTTGATGACCACTCAAGAATTCACATCATCTTCATGTCATGATATACAAAGTGAAAAATATTTGTAATACAAAGGGAAAAGGGTTAGTCAATCTATAGATGGGTCTTTATTAGCTAGAGCTGAAAAGTAGCATGATCATTTTGTGTGTTTGCATCTTCATCTTCATCAGCTCTGGATTGAACTGAGATAGCTAATGTCCTAACCCATATCATAAAAAATGGCCGTACATGGCCGTAATGGTTAGGCTTTACATGCAAGTGTGACCGCACCATTGGAATATGAGGATGTGAAGATAGGGGGAGTGACCACCCAAGCCAGCACCTAAATACACAAGGAAAATAGTATAGAATTAAAACAGATTGTGCTCAAATCATATATATCATACATTAAGGCCAAGGGCTGGAAGAGCAAAGGTCAAAGGTCAAAGGTTAGCATCCCGTTTCTCAGCCAAGGGAATGTATCATCTGTTGAGAGCCAGGGGGGCGTTTCACAAAACTTGTCATCAGTGACAAATGACAGTTTTTGTTATAAGCTACTGAAATCCTTGCTTCTGATTGGTTATCAACAGATTTATCACTGACTTTTGTCATTTGTCATTGAAACGGCTTTGTGAAACGGGTCCCAGAAGGGTGTTAACTCATTTACTTTTACACAGAGTTGATGCAGAGTTACTGCCCTTCTGGCTCTCAAAGATGATATCATGAGGATCAGGTGAAGACAAAAAAAAGAAAGTTTTGTTAGTGAACTCCAAAGCAGCCCGTGTATTGCACTGGACGGACTGTTCAAATTTGCAGAATGTCTCAAGTGTAAAGAGTGGATAGTCATGTGGTCTAAAACATGACCAGTGATATTTAAGAGTTGATTGAGAGATGGAGAAATGATTGATGGAGAGGAGGTGAAGAGGAGGATGAAAAGAATAAGAGAATATGATGGAGATCTTGTTAAAGAGAACCAATGATGAGCAGATAATTGTAGAGCGACAGGAGTGTCAAGTCTGACAGACATGAGCACTATACAAGAACCCATTATTATTATTATTATTATTCACAGAGGAATGAATGAAGAGATGATGATAGAGAGACGGATTAGGAGAACAGAGAGGAGGAGGGAAAAGGAAGACGGAAAAATACATATGAAGGAGAGATGGAGAAGATGAGCAAGAAATATGGAAGAGAATGAGATGGAGGAGAAGATAAAAGAGATGAAGATGAGCAAGGAATGTGGAAAAGGAAATAGAAAGATGGAGATGATTGAGAGAAGGAGGCAAGGATGATAGAGAATGTGGAATAGAGAGAGAGAGAGAGAGAGAGAGAGAGAGAGAGAGAGATGGAGAAATGATAGACTTTTCATAGGATCATATTGAAAGAAAAATATGATGAATTTCATTTAGAAGAGTTCTTGTTGTAAAGGTGTAGGTGATATAATGTGCAAAGCTCAACAATAGTGGTTTAAAACCAAGGAGCATGGACTCAGTGGTACAGGTATAAAACCCAAGTAAAAACAGCAAACCGATATATAAATACACGCTCCAAAGATGAATAGATGTAATGAACAGAAAGGCAGATAGACAGATTATAGGCAATGGACTGCTCAAACAGATAAGTGATACGGCGAAGGAACATGTAGGTCAATGGATAGGAAAAATGGATGGACGGGTGGACAGAAGTCAGGTTTACAAACTGAAATGAGAACAATAACTTCATGAAATTAACGGTTCGCAAATGGAGAGACAGCCAGGCAGGTGCAAAGAGTACAGTCAAACCTGTCTATAGCAACCGCCCAAGGGAAACACAAAAAGTGGTCTTTGCAGACAGGTTCCTTTAGTACATGTTTCAATGAGAAACCATTTTCAAGGGAAACAAGAAATGTGCTTGTTGTAGGCAGGTGGTCTTTGTAGATGGGAGGTCACTAAAGCAGGTTTGACTGTACGAAAGGATAGATAGATAGTAAGAACAAACAAGGAAGGAGGGGGTGATTTGAAGTCAGTACCTCTGTATGCATCATCTGTGGGTTAAGATGAGGATGGTGGTTGGGGCTCGAGGGAGGCGCCCCATGCTGGTAGTACTGGCTAGGGTACATTCCCTGCTGCTGCTGCTGGCCGCTCTGAGATCAAAGGTCAAAGGTTAAAAATTAAAAAGGTTCTTCATTAGTCCCTGTCGAAACACAACCCAAACAAATTCTGGTTAGTGAATAAGCTGGGGCTTTTCTCGTTCAGTTTGTTCATGTTGTCATGGTTTCTACTGGTTTATACTGTTGTCTCATATTTCTGGATGAAATCCTGAGGGAAAGAAAGGCTGGATTTAGCAATAAGGAGAACACTTCTCAACCTTGTCCATTAATTCATTGTCTCCCATCAATACAATGTCAGATAATGAACTTTGCCCTCTGACCTCAATCATCTGCTGAGAGCCACAGGGGGCATTCATTGAATCAAATCTTTATACTGAGATTTAATAGGTCAGTTAATGACCTTTGCACTCTCACCTCAAGTACCATCTGTCAAATAGGGAGCATTTCATATCTCCCCTTCAAAAAGGAGAATGTAACTTCTGATCCTCACAAATGTTTAACCCATGGCATAAAGACTGGTCAGTGGTACAACAACTTAGTGAAAACTGTACACTCGCATTTAATGTGACGCAATAATTGCGCATAATCATGGATTGACCATGTGACGTCACAATGCATATCAGAAAGTAGTTTGCCTGAAAGTCCACTTGCTTAGGTGAAATGCTCAGATATGATTCAAATACGAGTTAGACATATTACTCAGCCAAATAAATTCTAAGTAAAACACTAAACTCAATCTGCATCCTGAATTGAATACGTCCCCAGATAGAAGAAATTCCTTGAATGGTTGAGCGCCTGTCAGGGCAGCTAGGCCAAAGTCAGGTAGACCTCAGGAAATACACATGTATACTATGATTATTATCATGATCATTAATTTAGTTATTTCCCCAGGACACTTAAGGACTGGGACGAGCTACCTCAGATCATCGTCGAGCTGCCTTCTTTGGAGCAGTTCAAGGTGGCTCTTGAAACAATTTAGTTCCCTTTTCAGGAACTGTACCGCATAGAGCTGTATTTAACAACTCTATGCTTTACCCTCATCTAGACGCTGAACAGGCGTTGATGAGTATTACCATAGAAGTAGAATTACAATCCCTGTATCTTACCATGCCGTAGTCTCCCATTTGTTGCTGGTCCTCTTGTTCTTTTAAGCAGACCGTGGCTGTAGCCGTCGCTGTGGCCGTTGCCGTTGCGCCAGCATTGACCGTCGCTGCTGCTGCTGCCATGACTGCCGCTGCGGCTGCGGCTGCTGGCTGTGGGAACTGTCCTGGTGCAGCCTGCTTCTGAGGACCAGGGTGGGGTCCTCCCCCTCCCGGGCCCATGTGAGGGGGCACGTTGTGGGGCTGGTTGGGGTATCCAGGTCCTCCCATACCAGGTTGCATGCTGTGAGATAGTGATAAAAACATCAACAAGCTGAATGAATACTTGCAACTAAACTGACTGGAGATTTGAAAGCTCTGCACCTTATCTGATTGGAGGTGTTATTTATGAAACCAAGTATTTTCCACCAAGTGATCAATGACATACAGAGAGCGTAATACCAGGAAAATGACCATATCAACTTACTTTCGATTCACTAATAAATACAATCATGTTGTAGGTAGATTTCCATTACAATTTCGAAAAACTTGCCTTTGTTTTCCTTTGTTTTGTTTTGTTTTGTTTTGTCTTGTTTTGTCTAGTCCTGTTATAAATTGTTTTGTCATGTCTTGTCTTATCTTATTATGTCAGTTCCCTGTCCTTTGTGTCCCGTTTTGTAATTCTGTTCTTTTGTATATTTCGATTGTTTAGACAAAACAATTGTATATACTATGACTTTGTTCACGAACTAGTCTGTCTTAAGAATTTAACATTATCCTTTCAATTCTAGTCAATGAAACATAAGAGTCAATTCTTGAAGAAGTTAAGATTGTTACCTGTTTTGGCCCCTATAAGGGCCCCCCTGCCCTCGGTAGCCTGGCATCCCCTGCATGTTGTAAGGCTTGCTCTGCCCTACCGCTGCTGCTGAGAAGGGGTGCTGCTGACCGTTATATTGAGCGTTCATGTTACCCCCTTGACCTGTGAGGGAGGGGTAAGAAAAGAGAATAAGGAATAAGTAACAAATGACTTTGGTGTCTGCAATACAAAGTTGTAGAACACTTCTAACCCAATCATACCGTTAAGACCGACACCAGACCAACACCGGACCGACACCGGACCAATACCAGACCGACACCAGACCAACACCAGACCAACAGTGGACCCCCAAAAGACATCATTGTAATACAACAAATGACTAAGAATCGGTCAGTAGTTTGGAATCTGTTTGGATTGGTTTGGAGTTGGTTGACTAAGGTACAGTCAAACCTGCTTTTAATAGTGACCACCTGTCTACAAAGACCACATATTTTGTTTCCCTTGAAAATGGTTTCTCATTGAAACATGTACTAAAGGAACCTGTTTACAAAGACCACTTTTTCTTTTGTTTGCTTTGGGCAGTCGCTATAGACAGGTTTGACTGTATTACCATTGGTACAGCAATTTGAATTGTATCTTCACCAACTCTGTAAAAACTTTAAACCTCAATATCTGGTTTATTCTATGAGTATTGCAGTAATGACCATATCATATGTGAGCAGTGCTTTAAGATTCACGTTCTGGTAGCATCAACAGAGCAAAGCTAAGGTTAACATAATGTTTAGTTACACTTGATTTATATCTCTATACATACACGTAGACTGATCTTAAACAGAAGCAAAGATACAGCCATTAATCTCTAAACCTTGCTATGAACCACATGTACAATTTGCACGTCGTGCCATGATGACACATTTATAACTTTATTGGTGTTGATACACAGATACAATAAAAATTGACAGTGCGTAAATCACACTAGTACAGTGCATCACTGATCAGGTAATAGTGGTCTATTTCAGAACATCACGTAGCCTATCTAATTCATTTAAAAATCAATTATTACTATTCTGATTACAGTAATCAATCTTCCACTGTTCATACTCTACATAAGAATTAATAATCTGCCGAGCTTTGACTACATTGACCTACCTCTAAACGTTGTGTTACTAATCATGTTATTTGCGTCGCTGGTTTGTGTCACCCCCCAGACAGTGGTGACGACACTCAAAGACTGCTGGGAAGGCTGCTGAGGCTGGCCCTGCCATGCAGAATCACTGATGAGAGAGAAGAAAGAAATTAAGGTTCATAATAATCAACAAAATTGATATAATCACACTTATAAATCACATTGTAAATAATAATAATAATAGGCATTTCTATAGCGCCGTCCATTTAGAAATTTTATTCCGAGGCGCATTTATTATTACCCAGGCTTTAGCCTAGCTGCCATTACAGTGCTCCAGCATTTCTAGGAATTAATTCCTGCCAGGTACCCATTCACCTCACCTGGGTTGAGTGTGGCAAATGAAGATTAATGCCTTGCCAAAGGACATTAGTGCAGTGTCTACCGGGTATTATGATTCACAGTATCAATATCTATAGATAAAGATAGGCGAGAGCTTTCTATTTTGAGCCATGAAAAAAGAAAATATTGAGCACCCTTATTGCAGAAAAGGTAACATTCATAGAAATACAGATTCTTTGAATTTCATGAATGGAAAGTGTAACACTATATATATCACTCTCAGAGATGCCAACTTTTGGAAAACAGAAATAGGGAGGATTTGTAACCGACACCAAATAATGTGCGCGTAGCGCACATCTCGAGCGCGTAGCGCCCGACCCATGTGGCCGGGGTCCAGGGCCCGCCTTAGGGCCCTGGAAGCTCTGGGGTTCTAGATGCTCTCTGGTGCAATCTGAGCCTTATTTTGCAGCATTTTACATGTGTATTTAGTTAAATAATTCCCACTTTTTTTTAAAATAACATACAAATTGTACAAAATGCATGATGAATTCCTTTCAGACTTCCGAATACACGGGTACTTGATACTGTTTCGGTCTTATACTTCTGGGACCATTTCTTGGTCTTCTTTTGCTGATTTTCCGCCATTTGGATTCTGTGTCTATATCCACGCATTGGTTACGGCAATCCATATGCTGAAACAATCTTTTGTTACTTTGTCTTTTAACATAGTGGAAATACTACATGCTAAAGTTAACAGACGATATTTCTCATACAATTCACAGATATATATACTGATAAGCGCCAATAACAAAAAAAAAAATCATAATTTAAAAAAAAAAAAAAAAAAAAAAAAAAAAAAAAAAAAAAAAAAAAAAAAAAAAAAAAATCATTTTTTTTTTTTTTTTAAATAAATCGGGAGGATAAGGATGGAAATCGTAAGGTCGGGAGTTGGGGTGAATTATCGGGAGCCTCCCGATGAAATCGGGAGGGTTGGCATCTCTGCACTCTGTTAACATATGAAACGAATGAATGGGTTTTGACATTGGAAAGAAAATGGGTGCATTACGAAAAATATTGTGTATTTGGTTTTAGCTCGATGGATCATTTTACAAGGGGAAAGGCAGAGGTTTCTATTAAAGTTGGCTTGTTTTTTGAGCAAACATGATTCACAACGCTAGATTGGAGAGTAGGAAGTCTTTCATTCAGGCTATTCACACCATTTACAGGTACTATACATACTCTATTAAACCTCTATGATCCTGTTCACACACAACAATAAGCAGCATCTCTCTCTCTCTCTCTCTCTCCAGCCCTCTTCACACACAATAATAAGTAGACCTCCCTCTTTCTCTCTCACCATCTCTCTGGATTAAATACTTAAGGACATCACTTTTCAGTTTGAAGGTGGTTTTGTTTACACTTTAACATGGTCATTAAAGGGACATGGTAACATTGTTAAAGATGAGAGAAAATGGTGCCAAGTAGTTCTTTTTTCTTTCGAGATGAAAGAATAAACTATTTAAACAAATCTACAGAGAGACATAGAGACAGGCAGAGACGGACAGAATACAGAAAAAGACAGACAGAAAGAGAAATAGAAATAAAGAGAAATAGAAATAGAGAGAGAGAGAGAGAGAGGGGGGGGGAGGGGGAGGATGGGGGGGGGGGAGGGGGAGACAGAAATCTATAGAATAGTAAACTTACTCATGAACGAGAATTCCCATTAATTGCTTCTTGTTGCTAAGCTAGAAAAAGTTTGGAATTTTTTTTTTAAGACAGGAAGCAAGATCTCTGCACACAGCATCAAAAATGCATTTATTCCTTAAACCTCTATCCTTCATCTAGAAAGGTGAGCGGAATAGAAACAAGAGATGATCAGACAGTCATCATCGGTTCCTCAGCAAGTCAAGATAACGTCTCACAATTTAAACAGCTCCCTCGGGAGTTGATCAGAGGCGCATAATGGGACCGGTCTGCTAACCGGATAAATGGGATGAAAATAGCCTCAAAACTCCTGACTTTACCCCGGCTGCATACTGGTGTGGACAATTGGATTGTATTTTTGTCTTTTGCGCGTCACGATGCAATGCCGAAAGGCTGGAATTTCATTATACGGAAACCTAGGATATAGTTTTGAGCTTCAATTGAACCCTATTTGATGCATTCAGAAATTGAATTTCAATTAAATCAAAGAGAGAGAGGAACCCAGATAGCTACAGGGTATTTGGTCTCATTTTTTGTCCTCCTTAAAAAAACAAAAAGGGAATCCATTGAAAATGTCACATTTGCCTAATATCAGATATTTAGCACTTTCTCCCTTTTATTTGGACTTGTAAAATTGACCTTTAAAAACTTAATCTATTATCAATTCATATATACCGTATGCCTTCTCACTTCCTCCCGTTATCTAATTGAATTGATTTTTTGGTCTATTTCACAAGTATTTTCATATTTCTCCCGTGAATTAATTTGGTAATAGTTGTAGATCTAAATAACTCATTTTCTCAAATCTCTTTTTGGATAAACCTAAACTATAGGGGTCAAAACACATATGCACAGAGACAAACAAAGAGGATATCTATATCACACTGTTAAAACAGAGTCCATGCCAATGTTGGAATATGCGCTATCGAGGTGGGTAAAACTAATATATATCTTCTTGAATATGAGAATGGATATAACGTGTTACACGGATGAGCAAAAGAGAATAAAGGGGAGAGCACCGCACAGAAAGCAAATCAATTAAGCCTACCAATGCCGCCTTATGTCCCGACGACGACCCAAAATCAAATTGTCAGATGTTTGGGCCGGGGTAGCTTGGTCGGTAAGAGGTTGAGCGGACAATGAATGACACACTGGCTGTATCTTGATTGCATTTCATACAAGGAATGACCTGCACTGACTTGACAGAGGTAGTCTGACAATTCAGACCTGCATCTCTACTCGTGGTCGAGTGGTTTAAGGCACTTAGCTGGAGATGCGATGATCGAGGGTTCGAATCCTGACACGGCACTAATATCCTTTGGCAAGATATTAACCTGCACTTGCTACTCTCCACCCAGGTGTTAAATGGGTACCCAGTAGGATGTGATCGTCATTGTTGGTCAAACAGTTTTTGAGCGTCAAGTAACACCTGGCTGGAATGCTCCCCAGGGAGTGGAGATTGTGCACACAGTGTGTGCGGGCAAGCACTGAATCCAATGACCGGGGTAATAGTATATTTGTAAAGCGCTTAGAGACATTTGTATTAAGCGCTATATAAAAGCTCAATATTATTTCTGACATGTACAGGGGGGGGGGGGGAATTTCCTAGAAGCTGAATGAAATGAGGCGTCTTTTTCACCAACATGCTGCAACATTTTCTTTACAGTCATACATGTAAGTTTGGAATTTGATAAAGCAGCTAAAGCGCCTACTTTACAAAGAGAAAATAATGATTTACATTTGTATTTTAGGGAAGTGATCAATTTATAAATTAAATAATAATTTTACAAATTTTAAAGATTTGAATTGATTTCAAGTAAATTGGTAATTCCAATAACAATTATTATGTACGGAAACCAATAGAGCCTCAAATGGACAGGTATGATGTTTACTGATTTTCCTTCCTGACAAGATTGAATAGTTAAGATCCTTTAAAGGTAAAGACCAGTATTGGAAACGCCCCAATTTCAAAAAATGAAATGGAAGCTCTTATTACCAATCATGTGAAAGAGTATGTTTTGACTAATACATGATGATAAAAAATTTGCCGGGAAACCGCCTACTAATTGATATATTTGGTAAATTAGTTTATCTATTGGTGTGTGAGAGATAAATGCACGTGTCGCGCACGTGTGCGTAGTCCCATATACATCTTTTTGTGTACAGTGCTTGTAACTTTACGAAGACTGGGCCAAATTTCTTATCATTTTGTTGATTCCAGAACCTTGCAGTACACACCAATACTTATATGCTAGATGATACAGTTGTAAACCTTTTCTGATCGATTCCACAATGTTTCTTTCACAATGCAATCACATGACCATAACTAACTGGTCTTTATCTTTTATAATTACATAACTTTTTTAAAAGATTTTTAATGATTACCGGTACAAGTAAATTTGTAATTCCAATAACAATTCTTATGTACAGAAACCAAAAGAGCCTCAAATGGACAGGCATGACATTTACTAATTGTCCTTCCTAAAAAGATTAAATAGTTAGGATTCTGTAAAGAGACATCTACATCAGATTTATTTACCTAAAACTGATGTTTAAGACCATTTATGATAAGGCCTGAATCTAAAGACTAGTGGATTGAGAAGGCTTCCCAATATTGAGGGTTGATAGTGGTAGATAATGCCCTTAGCACACTGACTTGTGTTTAACATAACCCATCCAAGACTGCATTTGTATCGACATCCTGAAGACCAAAAGGTAGGGAGAATTGGGTGCAGGATTTGGGTGCACTATGTAAGCACCTCCACTGAGCATCATCTCTACCTGATCCCCTTCTCCGTAGACCTGTTTTCATCAGCTCGAGATTGCCGAATATCCCGCTATTAGAACTATCCCGATCGCAAATAATCCAGTTAATTTGCATCTTCATCAGCCCGAAGTTGCAATTAGCGGGATATTTTGTTAATATAATCATCCCAAGATATATTGGGCTAGTTTGCAAAATATCTCGCCATTTGTCCGGTGCGTTTTCACCAGCCCAAAGACTCGCACTATGCACAAACGCTGAGCAAAATATCTTGAGCTAATTTCGGGAGCTCAATCAATGTCGAGCTGATGAAGACGCGATTTGTAACTTCGAGATTATTTTCCCAAATCAGAAATATCGAGCTATTTGGAAATCTCAAGCTGATGAAGACAGGCTCGTGTGATCTGGGACCAGAGATGCACAGCAGCTGTAAGTTGATTTAACTCTCCCTTACAGCACGAGCTCTCTCGATCCACCGGTTAACATAATCATTTTAACACAATCTTCATCCTTCAAATGAATGAGTTGTAACACTGCCCTCAGAGGTTTGGATATAGAGACGGAAGTGGTGAAGAAAATATTGACCGGAACATCATACATGTTGTGTTGTTGTTGTTTTAGTTTTTATGGCGTGTATCATTCATTTATGAATATTTGAAAACAATCTTCATTCCAAGGAAAAATGTTTTTCTTGACACTACTTTTATTATCGGAACTGAAGATTTGCTTTCACAAAAATATCTGAATGTAATTAGCATTATGCTGACCTCCGTAGATATGAGGAAAAAAACAAGCCTTGACAAAAGGTTTACAAGATACCATATAAAAACAAGTGATTTGTCTTAAAGAAGATTGAATATGTACTTTTGTCTCTCCGTGCTATGGACAGTGTTCAGAGTGAAAAATAATTTGTGAGTTTTCTTAATCTTTTTATTCCGATGCGAAAGGTTGTCATAGTAATGAAGTTACATCAAAAACGTCTTAAAAAGATCAGATATTCCAAATTCAAAATAGTTCACAATTGGGGACCAAAGTTTTATAACACTTAAAGGCGATACAGGCCTACACAGCTCTGTATGCAATGCTTTTCTGATCATTTTGATTTGTCTGAAACCTCCCAATACTCATTTGAACTTGCTACATACATAATCAACCATTGGAAAATCTTCAAGTCAGTTACTTTAACATATCCAATGCACGACCAGTACTTTATATTATATGCGCGAGTTCCTCTAATGATATACCGGCTCAATGGTTTCGGTTTCAAGAACATCAAAGATCTAAGAAACTCTAATCAAATAAATCTTCCCATTCCTTGGTAGAACAAAAAATATCTTGTTCGTTTTATTAGAAACAATGCGTCTTGATTTATAAGGGGAGCTTCCTCCATCAAGATATAACCATGGTAACCATACTATATCAATGGTCTTCATCATGAGAAAGATAAAGTGGGATGATGATGCAACTCCATAATCATAAATTTTCACAAAGGAGCTATTTTTCACATTAAAACTTATCACTAGAAAGAAGAGTTTTTATCTGATAATATAGTTTGTTAATTGTGAAATATGGACCTTGTAGCAGATCAGCCTTATGCTAAACAAATTATTCAATAAAATCTTCTACTACTAATCTACTACTTCAAAATGTACTCTAATATCACTCATTTGCATGACAATAACAGTTCCAAAACCATTTTTTATTTTTGGGTTATACATGGTTATCCCAGCTTATTAATTAATTATAATTTTCACTTTCAAGAACTATAAAATTGTTTTGTTCAACAAACATGCCTATAATAACTGTAATCTTCTTTCAGATATTTCATGATAAAAATTACTTGTGGCGTTACTGCTCTACATTTTCTAGACATCTATTCACTCTCTCTCTCTCTCTCTCTTCCTTCAGTTATTCTATGCTGGGAATGAACCAATTTTCGAAATGACATTTGACTGTTGATTGCCATGACATTTTGAAGATGTCAAGATGGTAAGCAAGAGCGGGAGAGATGTGAGTAACTTAACAGATGGGTACCCCAGACTATTTCCAAAGATTAAAAAGAGGTCATTAAAATGATGAATACCTCACCAAATTGAGACACCTGGAGATGTGAAACGGAGATGGAGGGAGGATTACGTGGGGGGAGACATGGGGGAGAATAGCATGTAGAGAAAGGTAGAGAGAAAGAGCCTCTTTTCAGCATTTGAAAGAAAACTGAGACGACCAGAAGATACAGAGATAATACAGAACATGAAGAAAATGAAAAGAGAGAAAGTGACAGACATGCAGGCCAGGCAGACTGGCAGGCAAAAAAAGAGTCATCTAAAAAAAATACCTTCTATGTCAAGTTTTCAGTCCCTTTCAGGGAAAAAATTGTTTAAAAAAATCTTTAATTTGTTTTGCAGTGAACTCTAGGCAAATTTTGGGGGCTCTTTTTGGCATTTGGGGGCTACTTCGCCCCGAGCCCCTGTGTATTTTTTTCCCTGGTCACTTTTGTTATAGAAGTAAAACTAATCTGAAGATATATAGATGATATATCTCTTTTTGTAAACAAGATGTTCAATTTGGAGTGGAAAATGTGTAGAGGTATTGGACAAAGTCACGTTACTCTCTCTTCACAAGCAAGAAAAGCTTTCTGATCAATTGATACCTTACACTTCAATCCATGTACCAAAGTTATAAATAGAAGCATCTTCTTTGAAAACTGCTAGACATACAGTAACATAAAGGACCAGATTGATCCTATTTGCGCATCTTAATCACAGTTACAGACAGTTTAAATAAAACATTCAAAACAGACGATTCACACAACTTTATTAAATTGTATTTGTCTATGAACATCGACCTAAGAGGTATCATGTTTTCGAACCATGTTAACATGCTCTTGGAGATGATGTCATAGCTTTGCATACATAACAATATTTTCCCATTCACCCGACTGTGAACCTGTGCCAAAGCTAGGTCTCTGCCTTTCATGAAGAAGAAGAAGGAAAAAAAAATCAGTTTGTGTATATTAATGTTTTGTTGTTCAATTCGTATTGATGAAATGTATAAATAGCTTTGCCAAATGCAATAAGGTGATGTTATTTGATAGCTACTGTTCATTATTTCTTTGTTACAGAGGGTGTTACAAAACATGTATGAAGAAGTAAAAAAACAAGAAACTTACACAATTTATTAAGGACAGCAGTTTTCACAGTAAGAAACCCACAGAAAAATGTAGTGTTGAGTCAGTTACTATTATGATTAAATTATTTCAGGAATCCAAACCATTCACAAAGTTTGTGGATACTTCATGCGTATAAAAGCTTCTGGATTTACTGTAATCTGATTCATGATTAGAATGCATTTCTAAAGGCATGACCTCTCTTCATACAGGAGTATTAAGTATTGTGTGACACTGGCTTCTGATTGCTCAGTGGTAACTTCCTGCACAAACCACAATCCTAACTTCAACCCTGGACCAAACACTTTACCTTATCTTAAAGCCCCACTGCACTACTTATAGCTACTTGCGCCCTCTATATAGCAAACAATGCCTAATCGGTGACCATTGGTCCCCCATGATCCTCTTTTTTCTTATGTTAATTGAGAGCTGATTTGATGAGATAACCACCTGTAAGTGACCTTGCAGGGAGGTCTAATCCCCCTGGCCAAACTAGTACAGACGGGCTTTAAACCTAACATAAAGGACAATCGCAACCCTAACCCTAGTCCATAGCCTGGACTGTTTCCTTGTCGGGCATCCATTCAGCCGAGAAAATAACATGCCCTAAATGAGGAACCAGTGACAGTAGTCCTTGCCTCTCATTCTGTACCCGACGGATGTTTCTGGGGATCGCGCAATGAGTGGAGACAGCGCGCTGTGTGTGGGATGCGTGTGATTGAAGAATAAAAGGTGTTTAAAAATGGACAGAATTTGGACTACCCTAACCCTGTACTCTGGACGAAATAAATCCAAGAAAATCATCGACAAAATGGACCAAGGGTGGTCAGTGGGAGAGGCCCAAGTTGCAGCTAAGGACCAGGGAATTTGGAAGTTCCTCTCACGTCAGGCAAGATTGCAGTAATGCCCAATACTATCCTTTGGCAAGACATTGATCTACATTTGCCACTCTCCACCCAGGTGTTAAATGGGTACCCGGTAGGATGCGAAAGCTAATGTGGTTAGATTAGCAAGTGTGCGCTTGTCAAAATGACGCGTGGCTGGAATGCTCCCCAGGGAGTGGAGAATGTGCATACATTGTGTGCGGGTAAGCCTGGATCCAATGACCAGGGTAATAATGTATATCGGTAAAGCGCTTTGAGAGGGCCTGCCGTCCTGAAAAGCGCTCATATAAGAACGAGCTATTATTATTATTATTATCAGATGAACTTGGGGTGTTTTACAAAGACTAAGATCAACTTTAAGTTGGACTTAACTATGGCAGGCCTTTCATGCCATTGTTTGCTCCATCATTTAGATCTTTAGATAATATTTTTTCTTTCAATAATGAATTATCAAAAAATGTAAATTCTGTAGATTTGTGACCATGATTTGGACGTACCTTGAGCAACCAATGCCAGGAATGGTTAAGGGAACTAGTGGCATGAACGGCCTGCCAAAAACAAAATGATCGTAATTTTCTTGTAGAACACTCTTTTTTTTTACAAACTGATACCAAATTCATCAATATTCTTATAAATTTACAAGAAGTTTACCTAAAAAATTATCGTAATTTAGCAGATCATCATCGACTTTTAAGCTAGTACTATATCGCAAGCAGATTTGGTATCCTACAATACCCTACCTCGATGTGCGGTGTAATCCGGAATAGCGCTTTTCGACCTGCGCAACACCTGCGAATCACTCCCAAGAACTGAATGTTTGCAAGAGAAAATCTTGGATGAAGACCTACCTGTGTGGCACTGGAGGCAGATTCTTCTGCATCTGCTGGTGCATTGAATCTGAGTTTGTCTTGGTCCCAGACGAAGACAGGTCTCCCCCTTCCTCTCTGGACTGCTGGTGCCTCAGGAGCAGGAGCCTCCCAAGATCTTCACACCAAGACGACAGTTGGGCTGTGATTGAAGAGACAAAAAGTGAACAAGGATTTAAACTTAATGCTTCACACTGGATGAGACAGCATTCAGCAAACATTTCTAATGCATGCATTATTTGGTTATTTTTGTTATTTTTGTTATTTTTGTTATTTTACCTGACTGCTAAGAAGACATAAATGCTTGTTACTAAGCAACCTGAGGACCGACGGCTTTAGGTCCTCTCCGAGAGACCTGGTAATGAGGATTAATGCCTCACCAAAGGGCACTAGCGCATCGACTTGGTTTCGAACCCGGGTCACCGGATTACGAGACCACTGCTCTACCAACTGAGCTATCGGGCCTCCTTATAGAGTATAAAGTAGGAATATTATAATTGTTTAATTATTATTCATGTCAAGTGTATTATATCTTATCATTGATTTGTTTATGTTTCTTTAATGCAAATACAATGTAAATTACTTGAGCCTTTCTATTAATGTGAGGAAAACAATTTTCCATGTTTGAATGTACATTGGTCCAATAATGATGCAAGAATGGATGGATGGATGAATGAACGAGTGAATGAATAAATATCTCAGTCAAAGTTTGTCTTAAATACTGATTATGATGACAAATAAACATGGTCCCACCAACACCATATCACAGACACTGATAACACGTAGGGCCATGCATCTCAGATTTAACATTGCTAAACGATGCCTTTAAACAAGAGGGGTCAATAACCAATACTTTCATCCCAGAATCTCGAGAAATAGTCACTTTCCGTCATCTCCAACTTCAAACGAGATGCAGGAAGTTTGTGACGTTACCGACAGACGGAGACAATAACAATCAATTCAACGCTATGTTTCTAGATCACCTGCTCCGTGAGAGATTCCTCTTATAAAGCCTCCTCCTCATAAACTACTTAGAAATGTATCACGTAGCTGATGCGGATGCGGGGGTTGGCAACCAATGTCATCCATTCTATTTCCTCTTCAGGTTTCTCTAGCTTTGTTCTAGAGAGCAAAGGGCTTCAATTACGTTCCTCCTCCTGCTCCATCTCATTTGCTTCTGAAGGATACGCTACACCCAACTCACCAGACAATTACAATTAATGTTTTTGCACCAACCTTGATTCCTTTTAGGTATGCTATGTATCGCCGCCGTAGCTAAGGTACAAGCACACTACTACCCAGACGATACCTGCCTGTAATTAGGGCAATTCTCAGGTGTGCGAGGAGAGGATGCGAGAGTCATCTCTATGATCCTACTTTTGCTAATTATATTAGAGGTCCTTTGTATCAAGTTAAAGGTCTAATTATGTTAATGAGTCAATCATATATGTTTGATTTTACAGAAGTTTCATTCAGTAATGTTGATAAAGGGAAAAGTGCAATGAGAAAAGGGAGGATTGTAATGAGAAAAGAGGAAGATACCAATGTATCTTTTGATAGTACTGGTAATTAAAACTGGAGTAAAGAATCACTTTGAATATCGGTGATGATCTGCAAAATTAGCATTATTATCTTCCATGATTATTGTCTGTTAATATCATCTATTGATCTAACATCGATGTTTCAGAACCAAGTAAGCCTATCCAGACCACAATAGCATCCGGAGTAGCTATAAGCACAGGGCATTTTAGGAGCACGATGCATAAAGGTGTCTTTATCCTTCAAAGTGAGGAGGAGTACAAACCAGTCTAGGGTGCGTTCAAGCGATTTTTTGAAGCTAGAATCACAAACATGAATCACAACTCAAAAGGCCGTTATAAGACACGTTTACTGCGGGAGAGCGTTCAAACGATTTTTCATCAACGATAATGACGTCATAGAATCATAATTGAGATCTCTGTTCGTTCAAGCGAATTTTAGCGACCGTGATCCTACAAACGCATCTCTTTTCAGCGTTTCATGTTTGTGTTTTTAAACACATATAATTTTACGACCGACGAAAATCGCTTGAACGTATACTTGAACGCAACCGTGTTTTAAACTAAACGTCTTTGAAAACCGTGATTCTAGGGTGAAAAAGTGTTGATTGAACGCACCCTTAGTCTAATCAGGGCTGGGCTAGAGTCAGAGTCTTTCTTGGCTCCATGCTTGGGGTTCAAGATCACTACCCCTGAGGGACTCCAGGCTGGAATGTGAGAGAGAGGCTTGGATAAACAGCTAGAAAAATTGGAGTGCATTCCTATGCGCCAAGGATTGAGCTATCTCCTTCAGGATTGCACAGGTATGACGTAGGCACTCAGCAAGGTACCAGTGCTAGGATCAGAGGAGGTGGGTTAGAGGACGGGAGGGGGAGGACGGGAGGGGGGTCACTGGAGGGGAGGGGGGTCACTGGAGGGGAGGGGGTAGGGGAGGGAGTAGAGGTGGTGGTAGGGAGGAGATGAGGTTGTGGAAGGAGAAGAGATGGTGGAAGGGAGGAGGGAGACAGGAGGGGGAGGAGGGAGAGGGGAGGGGGAGGAGGGAGAGGGGAGGGGGGGGCAGAAGATGGGGTGGGAGGAGAAGAGATGGTGGAAGGGAGGAGGGCGAAAGGAGGGGGAGGAGGGAGAGGGGAGGGGGAGGAGGGAGAGGGGAGGGGGGCAGAAGATGGGGTGGGAGGAGAAGAGATGGTGGAAGGGAGGAGGATGGGAGGAGGGAGAGAGGAGGGATGGGTGGGAGGAGAGAAGCTAGTGGGAGAAGAGATGATGTGCTGAAGCTGTGACAATGGGGTTTGGGAGGGGTGAAGGGAATTGGGGTAATGGTGCAAGGAAAATACATGGTTCACAAATAGCCATGTCAATCAGAAATATCAATGTTACTGTTAGTGTACCATAGAATTGTTTAGGTGTGCATCGTTGTCCTGAGTCTATTTTGTATTAAATTTTCTTTAAATGTCTAAATTTCATAATGAGTCTCAGAAAAGTTTTCCTAGATAGGTGTGTAATATAAGGGTGCTATATTAAATTATGAATATCATCATTATTAATGTAAAATATATACACCTAAACAGACACCATCGTTTCCCCTAAATAAAAAAATATTGTTCACTGGCAACCCAATACCCTGTATCACTAATTAACTCTATTCTTTGCCATTTCAAATTAATTTTCTTCAAGTCTTGCATTTTGTTTCAAAATTAAAATGGGCATGAAATACATATCATTAGACAGAGGAAAATATGTGCTCATACTGTTTTGAAATTAAAAAAAACCACAAACAAAAAATTGATTGGGGGGGGGGGGGACTTCTTTGCAAATAGCATGTAGGGGTTAAGCAACAGAGACAGAAACTGTGTGCATGCCTGAGAACACCAAAGGGAAGAGGGTGACATGGGAAGGGGGTAGATTGTGGAAAGGGGGGAGGGGGTGAAGGAGGGGAAGGGGGTTATCCCTCAGCTTAGCCCTGACCCAATCTCGCTTGGAAACATGTATGCAGCAAAGTTTCCGGTGACGAGAGAAGAGCATAAATCTGCTGGCTTACAACCCAAACAGGAGGAAGCGCTTTCCTAAACGTCTCGACTCCTTCTGCAAATCCACCCCTGGAGGAAGGTAGGGTACTGGTATTTTAACTTTAGGAACATTCCAATTCTACGCTTTCGTCTGCCCCCTCTCTATCTCTCATGCCTTCATATAAAGTTCAAGTACATGAATATCTTACAGCATGTGTAATTACTGGTCTACAAACAAAATGGTTAACAGCAGGGGAAAAAAAACTTTAAAAATTTTGGGGGCTACTTTTCAAGCTTGCTTGCATGAAAATAACACTCTTAAATTTGTTTGCATTGAACTCTATGCAAAATTTGGGGGCTCTTTTATGACTTTAGGGGGCTCTTTTTGGCATTTCGGGTGCTAAAATGCCCTGAGCTCCGTGTATTTTTTCCCTGATATTATACAGCATGTGCAATTACTACATGTAGCCTACAAACAAAATGGTTAACAGGAACTATATTTGACTTGTGCCAGACAGATAAAGATATGTATGAATAGAGCATCACTTACACTATCAATTTCTCCTAACAACATACAAGCTCTTCAAATTAAACAATTCCTAGAACACTGTGAGGAAATCTTACTTTTCCTACTTAAAGAACAACTCATAAGTGAGCCAAGCCTAAACAACTTTGCAATGCTTTTGACAGGAGCGACTCTAGTACAAAGCATGCACTATGAATGAGGAGAAAACGGGCTAAATCACTCGGACATTGTTTTTTAATAAGGCTAACTAGAGTTCCTCACTGCCAACTGCGAATGTAGCCATTTACTTCCATGTAAACACAAATTAAGCTCTATAACACGTGTACCTATCCTGTACACTGTCACAAAGTGATGTATCCAGGAGGGGCAGGTGCCCCGCCCCCCTCCCCCACAAAAAAAATGTCTAAGAAGGGTCTCATAGTAGTTTTACACTTTGTGAGATACAGTGGACATTGTTCCATCCTTTTGTAATACAACTTTTTTTTTTTTTTTAAAGCTTTCTTTCTTTACAGATTTTTTGTTGTTGACATTTTGAAACCTCCCCCCCCCCCCCCCTCCCCCTCCCCTTCCTCGAATCCTAGATGCATATATTGATCACGGATGAATTGATGGGCAACACTCGGTCATCAACATTGCCTTTAAAATCCTCTTCCTGTCTACCCAGTGCGTACCCAGTGGCTATGAACACCATATATGTATTTTGATGCTATGTTTGGTTGGAAATACGCTGTAAAACCACAACCACAATTGTTGGTCTACACTCCAAAAATATCAAATATCTCAAAGAAATTTGGAGTTGAGTTGTATTAAAGATCACTTACACAAGGAAGTCATAGATTAGACTACGTCAGATCAACATGACTGCCTGGAAAATAACACTAAAAGAAACAAACAGTGTAATATGTGCATCAGAGCTGCCAACCTCAAATGAAAAATGATATTTCTCCCCCCCCCCCCCCCCAAAAAAAAAAATAAATAAAAATCCTATTTTTTATCGATAAGTACTTTCTCACTGCGAAAATGCCTTTTTTGTTGTTGTTGTTGAAAATCATATATTTTTTGTGGACAAATCGTACTGTCGTATTTACTTCTAAAAATCGAACGAAATACGATCAAATCGTACTTGTTGGCAGCTCTGTATACATGTACTCTTGGTCATTATTTTGTAT